CAGCCACAGCTCTGCTGAAGAGGATCCCGGGATCGAAATATACAGCCTACATTTCGTGTTTTCAAAATAGTGGATTAATTTCTTCATGTGGTAATGTGTTTAGCTTGTGCACTGTCACACAGCAGGCAGTTGAGGGGAGCAGGAGCTACAACCTACCTGGGAACAGTGCTCAAGAGCCCTCTCACTGCACAAAGGGGGAGGGATGGGGGGGGGGGACTAGGAGGTCCAGTACAACTCACCTAAACCAATAACTAATTAGCCCACCTAGTTAGGCACAGGGTCAAATGAGGGTTAACACCCCCTATTGTTCCCTGCAATTATGACCAACATATCTGGTTCTCCCTGGGGTTACTTGCCCTTGTGGGCTCTGTGGAGGCACTGGACAGCAAAAGTTCTCGTGTTAACTTTTAACCTTGTTTCTCCTCAGTTTCATTGGGTGGGCGACTAGGCCACCCACGAGTTGTCAACTCATGCTTGAAGGATGGGCTAACTAGTCTCTACACCATTAGGTACAGACCAGGCACTCTGTCTCTACTGACTCCATTCCACTCCCACTTCTGTGGCTGGATTGAGCTCTGAGCTCCACGTGGTGACTACCTCATCCCATGGCATTGCTGGTTCTTCCATCAAGTGTGCAGTTTTCCCCCCCTCCTTTGTAGGGGGGGGTGGGGGGGGTTCCCTGATGCCATTACCACATATTTGCTTTCTGCTGGTTTCCAAACTTGTTTGGCCCTGCTTCATAACCTACATATTTTGATCTGTCAGGATGAACATATGTCCTGTTGTGCACATTTATAGACTGGCACAAGTGTTATAGCAGCCCTTTCTCAGGAGAGGGAGCTGCCTGCCTAGCTGCTTTGTCCAGTCTTAGTGAAATCCTGGGACGAGTGTCCAAAAATACACTGTTGAATGGCAGTATTGGCATTGTTTTGAACCCTGTTACAACTGGGGAAAAGAGAGACCTCAAAGACTGCCATGGGGAATATTAAATATATTCTTGAGGGCCAGGTCATTTCAATCTTCCAGTTTGACTCCTCCACTTGTATTCCTTGTGGTCATTGTCATCAGTTCCTTTGTACTATTAAGATCATTTGACAAAACAGAAGAGTTCTATCATCAAAAGTGATCTTAACAGTACAAAGAGAACAATGACAATGACCACAAGAAAGACAAGCGGAGGAGTCAATCTGGAGGATAAAAATGACCTGCGCCTCAAGGATATATTTAATATCCCCATGGGTCTGAGTTCTCTATACCCAGTTGCAACATTATGCAGAACAACAGTGCCAATGCTGGCATTGTGTGATTTTGGACACCCAAACTGGAGCATCTCACCAAAGATGGGTAGGTGGGCAACTGCCTCTCGATGGTGCTGCAACGACACTTGCCAGTTCAGATGGGGTTAAAAGTAACCTGTCTATGGATGTACATATTAGGGTGGGTACGTTCGTGACAAAGATTATAATCCTTAGGCCATAAAGTAAGAGTCAAACAAAATCGAGAAAGTAGCAGTTTAAGCAGGAAGCAAACATGCGTGTGCATGGATGCCATCAGGAATCCCTACAAAGAAGGGGTGGTAAATGATGCACTGGTCGCAATAGGAGCCACACCAGGGGACGAGGCAGTCACCACTGTGGCTTTTAAGATCAACCCAGCCATGGAAGGGGGAGGGGAAAGGAGCACTCAGGTACACAGCCTGGTCTGGGCCCAATGGAGCCAGGTTGGTCCAGTACAGACTGACTCTGGAGAGAGTCTGGTCACTCACTCCACAAATCTGAGGAGAAATTAGGTCAGATGTTACCAAAACTTCACTGTTCAGCACCCCCCCCACCCACCATAGGAGGCACAGGGGCAAGCAACCCCAGGGGTAACCAGAGCCAGATATGCAAGTCTTGATTGCAGGAACCAATAGGAACACCAACCCTACAATGGCCACTTAACCCAATGTCTAATTAGATGAGCAGACTGGTTCAGGTGGGCCACACTGAATCTCCAGTTTTACCCATCCACTTACCAAAGAAGGGTGTTGCCCCTGCCCACAACCCCTGGGAGGGCTCAACTCCCAGATGAAAGGACATAAGGGCAAACACAGGTCTCTATACATAGCCCATAGGCATGTTTAGCTTGTGCACTCTCACAACAGGCAGGAGATGACAGTTACCCCTTTCTACCAGTGGGTGTTGCACAACAGCCCCCTCCCCCTCACTGCCCACAGAGAGGGGGGGGGGGTGTTTACATAGAAACTTTCTGGAGACATTGATTGGTGGAAGACAGGGAGGAGGAAGCCGGTTATAAACCCTACTCCATCTGTACCTTTAGAATTCGTGCTTTGCTGGTGAATTCATCATTATCCAGGTAGCAGCCACTCATAGTCCTGGTGCCAGTGAAGTTGGCACGACCATGCATCACTCTCCAGTTGTCAATCAGTAACACTGTACCTTTGTATAAAGAAAAAATTAGTAGTAATAAATTCATCAAGCAAATGTTCTCTAACTTATCCTCAAATACCTAAAACAATACTTTGTTCCTTTCAACATTTATAAAGAAAATTATTTGAGAGAACTGTAAATTCTCTTTCAGATAGCTACACAAGGTTGCAGGTACATTTCCCACGCCCATGACTTCTCTTACTGAAGGAGGTCATTCTGTGTTGGGATTCAGATCTTAGGCCATGTACTGGAATTGGTTGGATTATTTAGCACAGCATTTCCCTACAAGAGCCACCAAACTCTTTACATTTGAAGTCAGCCTTTACTGCTAGGTGCACAAGCAAACAGTGAAGAGAAAGTGACCAATCATCCCTCCCTATCCAGGGTCATTCTTGTTTGTGAAGGTGGTGGGGGTGGGATGGAGAAGCATTTAATGGAATTCTATTCCAAATTGCCATTTGAAGCTACAGTGCTATCAATCTTATAGAACAAGGAAATACATAATCAAGACTTAAGGGGTAGACTCAAATTATTCGTCCAAATTACAGTGAAACATTTATAACAATGGCAATGCAGCACATTGTTCCTGTTTCTAATATTTGTAAATAATCTTCCAGAGGGTATGCTCATTCATCTCAATGTTTGCTGATGATGCAAAAATTATAAGAATCAAGACAGGTGAAGATAGACAGACTCTACAGGACGACCTGGACGAACAGGAGGAATGGTCTAAAAATTGGCTACTAAACTTCAACTTAGGAAAGTGTAAAGTAATGAAATTATGCAAAGGAAGCAGAAGGCTGAGCACAAGGTACCATCTGGGAGGTGAAATCCTGCAAGAGTCAAATAAAGAGAAAGATCTGGGGGTTGATATCACACCGAACCTGTCCCCAGAGGCCCACATCAAAAGGATATCATCAGCGGTATATGCTAGAACTGGCCAACATAAGAACTGCCTTTAGAAACTTGTGTTCAGGACCTTGTATACCACCTATGTCAGACCAATCCTGGAATATGCAGCTCCAGCCTGGAATCCATACCTAGTTAAACAAGACAAAGTTAGAGAAGATTCTGAGGTATGCCACCAGATTAGTCCCAGAATTGAGAGGTATGAGCTACAAGGAAAAGCTAAGGGAGTTGAACCTCATGTCCCCGGATAACAGATGAGTACGGGGAGACATGATAACCACCTACGAAATTCTCGGGAATTGACAGAGAAAGAAACTCTTTAGCATGGGTGGAGCAGGGACAAAGGTGGAAACTTAGTACCCAAATGAGCCACAGAGACAGAATTTTTTCAGTGTTTAGTAGTTAACAAATGCAGTGATGTAGAGGCAGACTCCATACACAGTTTCAAATGTAGATTTGATAAGAGCCCAGTAGGCTCAAGAACCTGTAAATCAGTTGACTGACGATTGAGAGGCGGGACCAAAGAGCCAAAGTACAACTAGGCAAGTACAGGTTAAATACCCTTCCCATTACTCTTAAAAATTTGGCACCATTGTCAAGCTTGTGCCTTTCCACCACTATCAAAACCCTTGCACTGCATTTTTTATTCCCTTTACAGTCAATATTAAAATTATTTGGCATTTTTCTTGCTTGAATTTAATCAAAATGGGATACAGTAGTGGTAATAGTTCACATCCACAATTTCCTTCAGTGTTAAAGTTTTAAAATCATGACAATTTCTACTAATGCTACAAGTTGCATATTCTGTGCACCCTTTCATAACCAATTTTAACATGCTGACAGATTCACATTGCAACTCAACAATATCATATCACAAACAAATTAATAGCAATTATATATTCCTTAAACCATTCATTACCTGGTTCCAATTTAAGCGAATATTCATTCCTTGGATTTCTAATGATCTTTGTAAGATTACAAAAATGCAGATAAAACTCTTGCAGCTTTTCCATGGGAAGTGACGACAAAGGAGCTCTATCATAAATGTTGTATCTGCAATAAATAAACGAGTGTTGTACATATCATTCATTAATAGTAATAAGATTAATAATAAAATATTAATACAGTATTACTGAAGCATCACATAATAGCAGCAAGTAGTGTGAAAGACAGTAGCAAATATTGTAGGTGTGGCATCTCCAAGTACAGTAATTTTGTTTTCCCCATCTTGCTCTCATATTACAAGGTTGGTGCCTCCCCACCACATGGACATGAAAATTAGGCCAACAAACAATGATGAATAAAACTACGCTCATTTCCTCCTTTTGTAATGAAAATAAGAACTTCATTACACTTACCATTTACAATAGTAAATAGTTTAAACTATAAAATGAATCGGCAAATTTAATTTAGAGAAAGCTCTACTCAAGTTCAAAATTCAATAGGGATGACTGTTGGATTGAAGTATCAAGTTCCCCAATGATCATAATACGTAGTGACTTTCCCCAGGATGCAACCCACAATATACATCAGAGTACAAATTAATTGTTAGGTGTAAAGAGGGGGCTCAGATGAAAGGTAATGTGCCCAACCTGGGATTGAACCCAGGAGCCCCAATTGTGATCTAAGAATATAGACCACAATATTGGCGTGACCCCAAGGCTTGGTTGCTCCCAGAAGTTATGAACAGAGGCACAATGATGTGGATTATCAGTGTCCTAATGTCATACATTGTGTCAGGCGAGTAGATAACGCAAGGAAAGTATTGTGGCAGGAGCAGGCCAGAAGTCCTCAGTTTGGCCCAGACTCCTTGACTGGAGAACCTACTGTAAGGCATGGCAATTTTGAGAAGGTGCTATCCCAGATGCCTAAAACATGCCATGACGCTTGCCTCATTAGATCAGACTTGTCAAGTTTGAGAGAGATCACAAAGTAGATTACTTGTGCTGTTGTGTGACAGTGAATGTGTGCATTAAACGTGCTTTTTGGCCAAAACTCTGTATTACTGGCTTTAGGCATAGTGTGTACTAGCTCTATCTAGAAATCCAACATTATTTTTTAACTCATTTTGAATGTATGTACTTTTACCTGAATAAACATTATCTTATCTTAATTTGAGAGAACCAGCTTTCCAGAAAAATAGGATGAAATGGATGTGCCAGTGAGAATCCCAGTTAGAGTAGAGTACCATTAGGTGTGGAGACCCATTTGTGAATATACCTAAATACACTGTGCTGTATATCCAAAAGAAGCAGTTTATATAAGCTTTCCTATTTCTTAAGCATGCCCTTGTTGAAGTGGTGGCCTTTATAAGTACAGTTATTATAAATTAACTAGTAAAAGATGAATACAAATTAATTCTGATGTGTTGAAGAGTGAGCAAAAGAAAGCAGCAACATGGCTGAGAATATTATAAACAAATGAAAAAAGTGAGGAACAAGTGATATTTTCTAGCCAAGAGAGTAGTTTTAATTTAGCATGTATTTCATTTGTTTAGCTTTTTAAACTGATTTTCCAAATTTTTAAATCATTTTTTTTTGCATGTGTAATTATTTGAAAACAGAATGAAAACATTAATATATGATCACACAAATGGAGCTCTTTCACACATCAATTAGTCATTTCCTTTTAGCTAACCTGATCTGTTGTATATTGCCCGTGACTGGATGGTGTTTAAAAATGGTGTCAAGCGACATAAAGTGATACCCATCCTCTATATATTCAGATGGCACAGCTTCTGACGAGAGAAATGCATAACCTTCAGGATGCTTCTCGTGGAACTGTTTGGCAACATTGAATCCATCAACAAGCAAATTCTCACCACCACCTGTGGCTGTTTGTAAACAGTGGAACACTTGTATTCTGTTGAAGATGAGCAAAATGTTAGAATATACTTTATGGTATGCTGAGTATAGAGGATTGCATAAATATATTCATCAATTCATGTACAGTTTTTTTGTAATTTCATCTCGTAGGTAGACGTGATAATTTTTTTAAATCAACTGACCTGGCTGCTTGTGAAAAGTACGTTCCATCGGTGTGAGCACCAATAGATTCTGTGGAATATGCAGTGTCAAGATGATCATAGTTGGTCCCATGCATGACATACAGTTCTCCATAAAATGTCTTCTTAATTGTGCAAAACTTTTCTACAGCTGCCCGTGTTGATTCAACATCAGCTGGAACCTGTACACAGAAGCATGCATATACCTTCCATTACTGTACATCCAGCCATCTCCCCAATGCCTTACTCCCTCCCGAGAGCTTCCCATGGTGGCCACAGTATTAGTCTTTCCAGGAGGTTCTCTTGCTACAGAAGCATTTCACCTTTTACAGTTCTCTAACCCCCTCCCTGCACTATCCTTTCTGTTATACACTTTTCACTCTTCCCTTCCAAGATTCTGATCATCTGCCTTTATCATACAATCCCCTTATTTCAATGTTTAATAATTTTCTACTATTTGTGCCTATAGGATTGAATTAACACAATATTGCACTTCACCCACTTCACATTTTATACTTTCACCGATATCAAATCTCACATTTCTCCATATCTACAGATCTCGCTACTTACATACCAGTTTTTCTAACAACAAAAAATACATATACTAGTATATACAGTGGCACCTTTGTTCACTAAAAGGGGCCTCGTAGCCTGGTGGATAGCGCGCAGGACTCGTAATTCTGTGGCGCGGGTTCGATTCCCGCACGAGGCAGAAACAAATGGGCAAAGTTTCTTTCACCCTGAATGCCCCTGTTACCTAGCAGTAAATAGGTACCTGGGAGTTAGTCAGCTGTCACGGGCTCCTTCCTAGGGGTGGAGGCCTGGTCGAGGACCGGGCCGCGGGGACACTAAAGCCCCGAAATCATCTCAAGATAACCTCAAGATAACGATCGTAATCCATTCCCAGAGACACGTCAAACAAAACGAATCTTCCCACAAGAAATAATGTAAATTGAATTAATCCGTTCCACACCCCCAAAAATATTGACTCAATACATTTAATACCGAATAACACTGCAATACAATACTGTATGTTTATCTTACCTTGAATGAAGACTTGTTGGCGTATGGAAGACTGAGGGGGAGGGGAGGGAAGGAGGGGAGGTGTTAGTGTTTAGAAGGGAAATCCCCTTCCATTATAACATCATGCAGTGATGACTTTTCTGGGTACACTCTCTGGCACATTTTGCCTGCATACCACTAAGAGCTGCTTGTGGCTCACTGCTTGCTTTTCTCACTAAAAATCTGTCTAGCAACACTTTTTTTTTTCCCTACATTGTAACACTTGTCTGAAGCGAGACATCACATTGTCATTAAAAAGGTTAACACAACTGGCTGCTACAGCTCTATTTGGGTGAGCCTTTTCAACAAAAGTCTGCATTTCTTCCCATGTTGTACACCATTTCTTAAGTGTTGAGGAAGGGAATTCCTTCTGCCTCCTCCTTCCCTGAAGAAATTTCTTCAGCTGCCTCTTGCCACAACCCGTGTACCATTTTCATGTTTACGAATGATCTTTTTTTTTTTTTTTTTTTTTTTTTTTTTTTTTTTTTCCTCTACAGTCATCCTCAATTGTTTCCTTAGATTGAACTTTACCACTGACTTTCTTGGGACACATAAGTGATATATAATAAAAACTTTTATGTTAAAAAAAAAAAAAAAAAAAGGCAAACAATGTTAATTTTCACAAAATTCAAGCATGTCCGTGTTCGCTACTACACTGGTAAACAGTGCCTCGGTGCGCCCCAGCACCACATACTCAGTCGACCCATATGCATATGAACAAATGTCGTGTTCTAATTAAACTGTCATCTTCCAATACAAATTTTGACGAATTTGACGTAGAGTTCCAAAAAATGCATCTTCTAGGGCAGTGGTCAACCACTGTATATTGCTTGTTTTCATAAGCACTGCCCTTTTCCATAAGGAAGTTTCATTTTGATATGTGAGCAGAGGAAGTTTGTGGTGGTGTTTGAAGGGTAGGGTCAGGTTGTGGGACTAGGATTATCATCATTGTATCGGGAGGGTCCATGGGGGCCCCTGCATATGGGGAAAACAGTAATATGAAAATGGGAAACAATTATCCCCCTCTCTGTACTTGGTGATGCTGAGAAGGGTAAAAGTGAGAGGCGATGGTCAAGTTTACTACATTCTCCCAATGACACAAATGAGCTTACAAAATACTATTAGGAGCCAGGTGTGGTGTTATCAGCCCTGCTTTTCTATCAACTTATCCCTCCCATCCATATTCCAGCAACATACAAATCCCACTTTACCACCTCAGATCTCAAACCCTAAACCCAAAACATCATTAAATATGAAACCTATTTGTGTGCCAGGACTTATAATTCAGCATCACCTGGTTACACGTTACTGACCAATCGGTGAATAATACTGCCTTCTCACGGACCGAGTACTTCAACAGATAACCTCATACCCTGTACTAAATTATACCATTATGAATATTAAACAATTATTGTATTAAGATATCCTACTTAACCCTTTAACTGCACAACACATCATATGATGTGTTCAGTGACTTGCAGTAACTTGCGCTCCACATCATATGATGTATTGGAGTACTACACAAAATTTAAACGACCCGCAGATACACGGGGGTTCACCACACCTTTATCAGGGCTCTAGTAAACAGACGCCATTTAAAAAAAAAATCGTGGGCCAAATTCCCGGGTGTGAGAGGCCTCAGTATTGAGTGAGCTACCAAGCCTGATGCACACAGCATGAGCTCACAGCACTGCTGTTCAGCTTGTGACCACAACATGGCCTAAAAATGCCATAATTTACATTTGCATGCTATTATTTAGCAATGATATTATTACAGAAAACCCCTGACTGATAAAAATGACCAGGATTCTGATAATAGCAGGATTGTTGTGATAATTAGTGCTGTAGTGGGAGGAGTAATCTTGGTGGGGAGGGAGGTAGCATTGTCTGCTGACTCTCTGTGACCACCTTTTACTGTCTGGATTCACTATACCAGCTTAGTTGTTCGCTATGGTAAACAAAACATGCAGTTACTTATATATAACGTCTGTATATAAAAGCAAAAAAAGTATGGTGGGAGGAGAATGGTGGCAAATCAGGCGAGTTGAGGGAGGGAGTGGCAGCCAGTGGCGGGCTGCCACTGCCACTCAGCATACCAACTTAGTGGTTCGTTATGGGGAACACGAATGTAGATACTTATATATGACGTCTATATACAGTGTAATAACAGCAAAAGGAATGTGGGGGAGAAGCCATTTTGGTGATGGGTGTGACAACATGTGCATGATTTGTCCTGTTGGTAGGGGTGGCCACTATGCTCTTTGGGCATTATACCGGCTTAGTTGAACAGTTATTGTGAACAAAACATGTAGATACTTATATATAATGTCTGTATATAGGGTAATAACACCACAGTATTGTTGGGGGTGAAATTTTAGTGCGTCTGACCTTGAATGTGTGAGGGAGACAACCGCCAGCTGTGTGTAGTGACGTCTCTTAGTGCCTGAACTAACTATATCAACTTAGTTGTACAGTTGTGGTGAACAAAACATGCAGATACTTATATATAACGTCTGTATATAGTGAATAAAAGCAAAAACAGTATTGTGGGAGGAGAATGTGGGCGAGTCAGGCGAGTTGAGCTGGCTGCCACTGAGCATGCCAACTTAGTGGTTCGTTATGGTGAACACGATTGTAGATACTTATATATAACGTCTATATATAGTGAATAAAAGCAAAAACAGTATGGTGGGAGGAGAATGTGAGCGAGTGAGGTGTTGAGGGAGTGAGTGGCAACGAGTGGCTGGCTGGTGTGTGGCGGTCACTCCTCGTTGCTTTTTGACTCATAACAGCAAATTAGTGGTGCGTTATGGTGAACAAAACGTGCAGATACTTGTATATAACCTGTGTTTATAGTGTAATAACCGACAAAGTATTTGTTCACTGCTTAATGAACATAGTCGACTCAACAATATGCACACCATATTTTTGAGTACAGTGATGATTCTCTCATTTTATTATATATAACACTACACACTATTGAATAATATTACAGCAAAAAAACTACTTAAAATCAATCAGAGACATTGAAATAATTAGGTAATTATCTCTGTGGCAACTCCTGCCCGACAGCTGGTGAGCAACAGACCGTCTGGGACGCACACTGAGTCAGCACCTGTTTTTTGCCAGACTTTCCCACCCTATCGCGGGCAATATATGCCACTTACGATTTGTTTATTATTTTTCCCATGATCAGAGAACACAAATTAACAGGTTTAGAAGAATTTCTTTTTTTTTTAGTATGCGCCCGAGGGTGACAAATGCTAAATAGCCGGAGCCACACAAGGGTTAATGCATGTGGATACTCATGGTCACTGGCAAACAAATACAGTACTTTATTATCTTTACTGTATATTCAAAATTTATTATTTATATATTTATATTTAAATACACACAAGGATGCATTCTGTTATAAAAAAAAATCCGAAATAGTTATCAATGGCCAAAAATGCAAAATATCCGTAAATGTAGATTATTCACAAATCCCAATTTGGCCTGGAACAGTATACTATACAGGTACTGTAATTTGAATTTTTGAGGTTACAGTATACAGTATTAGCAGATAGAACAAATAATAAATCAACTTTGATAAATATAATAAATTTTGTTTAACTCGCTCTAGAAACCATCATACACCTCATGCCAATATCATCATACACCTCATCCCAATATGGACACTGTACTGTATTTTACCCTATTATAACTAGGGAATTCAATTTTTTAATAAAAAAATTTGAACAGGAAGACCTATAGACTTTACATTAAACCATATTTTGTTCTTAATGTATTATGAAAACATGACCTACAGTCACAACATTTAAACAAAAATATTAACACCTGCCCATTGAAGAAAAAAAAAAAAAAAAAAAAAAAAAGGGAATATACTTTTAAAGCAGTAAAAAAACCAGCACCCTGCTGTACAAGACATACCTCCGAGATGAAAGCCAATCCATTTTGGATTATTGAATACATAAGCTTTCTGGCACCATTCTTTTCAGGATCACAGAGCTCTTCCAGAGGAACCTGTTGGATAATAGTCAAATTATTGCTTACGAAATTCTTTATACAGTACATTAAAAATCTCAAATAAGGAATAGAACAACCGATTGCCAAAATATATAGTGTCAAACATGCTTCTTTATGGAAAGTCAGAAAGAGAACCAGCATAGACAGAGAATGCAGATGGTATTATAGAAGGGAGAAAAGTAAACGTTTAAGCACACACAACTACCCCTACAAAGAGAGAATAACAAATGGAGATTGAAGAAATAGAACACAGACAAAAGCAATCATAATTGGATGAAGAAAACTAATTAGAGCAGAAAGCCATACAAGGGGTAAAGAAAAATCCTAAATATTTCTTCATGTATGCAAAATCAATAAAAAAGCCTCTCTGTATTGGACCTATGCTTACAAGTGAAGGTTCATACACAAGAGGACGTCAAAGAAATTAGTGAAATCCCAATAAATAAGCAATATAAGGACATAGGACATGTTCAGCACCCATATAAACAGCACAAAAGTGGAAGATCCTGACAGCTTCTTTATGTTTGATATCCAAACCCCTGAAAATACATGTACATCTGATAACACAAACTCGGCAGGTTTTTAAAAGAGAAATCGACAGCATAGCCATGCACTCTCCCTAGGTCCAGACTTCTGGAATTCAATGCTTATAAAGAAATGCAACATGCCAGTAGCACAAGCACTCAGTGTATAGTGTGTAGAAAAGCTTGGACTCTGGGAAGATACCAGAAGTGCTTAATTCAATAGATATAGCTCCCCTACACAAGGGAGGGAGCAAAGCAATGCCCAAGAATTATAGACCAATTGCATTAACATTCCATATAATAAGTTGAGAAAGTTATCAGGAATCTGATTCAGTTTTATTTAAGCCAATGACCTCCGCAACCCAGGTCAATATGGAATTAGCGCGGAAGATCATGCCTTTTGCAGCTACTTTACCAAATCACTGATGCATTTGAAGAAAACAGAATGCAGATGTAGTATACATGGATTCTGCAAAGGCATTTGATAAATGTGACCATGGAATGATATTCCTATTGACCTCAGTTTGTGGGTTAACAGGTATAGTAGGACAATGGATATTAACTGTGTCAAACAGAATGCAGACAGCAAGTCAATAAAATAAAATCAAGTCCAAGCACAGTGAAAAGCTCTGTACCTCAGGGAACAGTTCTTTCACCACTGTTTGTAAAAGACACATCAAACACTTTATGTAGGGCATACGTAAATCTGTGTATCTATGTATTTACGTATGTAGGTTAGCTTAACATTTTAAAAGCACCGAATCACCTTCTGTGGTTGAGTGTTCAATAAACCCTTGAACTCTCTGTTTAACATTTCTCTAACCCTGTCCATGGAGGACAGAAGAAAATGTATATATGCTGGTTAGCATTGTAAATGTGTGGCCACGTCTGTGGTAGAAAATAATAATAATAATAATAAAAAAAAAAACAAAAAAAAAAACACTTTGTCCTTATTCTCATATCAGATACACACATTAATACACGTCACAGCTTTGTTATCTTTTGCAGATGACAAAAATCTGCATGAAAATTTCTTCTGTAGGAGACATTGAAAAACTACATGCTAATATGAATAAAGTTCTCAATTGGGCAGCAGAAAATAACATGTTTAACAGTGATAAATTCCAGGTACTTAGGTAAGGTAAAAATTAAGACCTCAAACAAAATACAAAGCACAAAACACAATCACATCTGCCCATAGTAGGAAAGCAACATGTAAAGGATCAGTGTAATGATGTCTTACAACCTAATGTTCAGGGAGCATAACCAAGCAAATATAGCGTCGGCTAGCAAAATGATAAGGATGGATTATGAGAACCTTCAAATCCAGGGATCCCATCACAATGCTCATACTACTGAAGTCCCCTGTGCTGTCCCACCTTGAGTACTGCTCATTACTCACTTTCCCTTCAGAGCAGGAGAGATTGCCGAAATAAAGGAAATGCAGAGGAACACATACAGCAGCACACAGACATGATAAAGATGCCAAACTATTGGGATCATCTCAAAGCTCTCAAAATATACTTTAGAAAGGAGATGAGAAAGGTAATAAAATATATACTGTATGTAGTACATGGTAAATACTGGAGGGCTAGGTCCCAAATTTGCACAGTATAACATACTGGAGTGATATGGAAGGAAATGTAAAATAGAGCTAGTGAAGAGTAGAGGTGCCATAGGCACAGAGAACACCGCTTCAACATCAGAGGTCCATGGTGGAAGTGGATATGTTGGCCAGCCACTTCAGGAAACTGCCTGTTGGACCAAGCTCTCAGGCAAGCCTGGCCCTGGACCAGGATTGAGGTGATGAACTACTCCCAGAATTCCATCCAGGTACAATCCAGATCTAGGTTCATATGCATGAATACTGTACCCTGTCATTACCCCACACATTACATCTGTAAACCTCAATCCTGGAACTTTTAACAATGAATATTACACAGATTCAGTTAAAAAAAAAAAAAAAATAAAAAAAAGGTGGGGGGTTTGGGGAGGATTTAATTCAAATAATATGCTTATTTCTTAGTACAGTACCAACAATTTGCATTAGCATACAAACTCATCAAATCTGGATTTCAGTACATAAGTCTTGAATTAAACAAATGAAAATAAATTACCGTAGTCAAGTGTGCTGCAGGGAATGTCGAAGCTTTCCAAAGATGTCTAGACACTTTGTGTGCTGTTCGACAACCATCAAAAGAATTCTGCCAGAGGAATTTGTACTCGTACTCCGATTCATGTCCATCTGGCCCTGTTGAATGCCAAAACACATTATATGAGGATTTCTGGATCATACACTTCTTTCTTGCCACTCCTTGCCTGTATCATTCACTAATTCATTCAGATGGCCATGCTGTGGCACTTCCAAAATCCAGATTATATCAACCGGACCCCGATTTTGATTTGCATGAAATCCAGAATTCCAAAATACCTGTATTGCCATTTTTTTCCCTCTATTTACTTCAAAAAATTTTGTTTTCTTTATAGCAAATGATACAAAGCATGTTTTTGCAAGTGAATACAAATAATTTAAAATATTTTGCTGGGTTGTGTAATGAGTATACAGTACATTCACTAAAAAATAAAAATACATTGAATGTAATAAAATGCCAGTTTCTGGACAAGCTTTGGAGGCTCCCTGAAGGTATCCCACTGATATAGTGCTATTCTATATGGGGTCTTCGGAGTTCTTGTTGCCTATCGGGCACCAGAGCCAGAACCTGACCTCCCTCAGAGAGGCACAGGGAGCAATAGTCTATGAACACTTCACATTTAAAGTGTTCATAGACTATTTGCTCCCTGTGCCTCTCTGAGGGGGGCCAGGTTCTGACTGATCCCTGGTAGGCAACAAGAACTCTGATGACCCCAAATAGGATAGCACTACACGTATATCAGTGGGATAGCTTCAGGGAGCCGACAAAGCTCCCCACAGAAAAATTCTTTTCACTTGCCTTTTTGCAGCATAGGATGGTCTTGGTAAACAAAATGTATTTATAGTGCCACATCATGCTGTCTGTTAAACTTGTGCCACCACCCTGCACTGGCCTCCAAGAACTCAAGTGCCCATGGTTCATGCTACTGTATTAGTAATAAAACGTCTATGACATACATGAGAAACTCGCATACCATGTCATCAAATTTGCAGATGACAAAGATCCATGATAAAGTGGGAAGCAAAAAAGTAAAGCATTGCAAAATAATCTTTTGTACATGAACTCTACAACTTGCAAAACACCTTAACAACATAATTCTGCATCAGACTACAAGAAAAGGATCAAAAGAATTATGACCCACTTACAATAGCAGCCATGGAAAAATAAATCCAAACATTAATAACAATCAAACGAGCCTTTGACAATGAAAGACATTATTCAGCTGAACAAATCTCTTGTATATCCCTACTGTATTTGAAATACAATACCGCATCCAAGAAGGGAGACTTCACCTTCAAAAGACCAAAACTGCTTTATCAACAGTTTAATGCGAGACAAAAATCACCCCCAGAACCAAGTCGACTCGTACCAGAAAAGGTCTTGGGCTAACAGCACTATAAACCAAGCAAGACACGGCTGATACTGAAGCATTTAAAATACTGAACAAACTATTTATAACAAATTTATAACAAATTGCATTTGTTTTATGGTACAAGTGTTTGTTTAAAGTCAATACTGTAAATAAGTTATTACATCAAATAGAGAAGAAAAAAAAAAAGACTGCTTGAGGCTACATTGTTCAATTTCAATATTGGCCATTTTTTGTATTGCTAAACCATAAGTACAGTACTTAAAATTTAAAGTATTAAAGATATAGTACAGTACAGTATTATAAAACCATAAGGTATGCCTGCCAGGGCTAACAAATTACAGTAGTTCAGTGTTAATATTCTATCAACCCATCACTGTGTTGCCATTAAAAATTATAACATGTCTCAAATACCGCACTTACACTGTATTTGTAATCCATCTTGAGTCGTCTTCACAACTGCTGGTCGTATGTTCAGCGGAATATTGCCGACATCAAAAATTCTTTGGCATGTTTTGTGGTTGTAACAGCGAGAGCAGCGACAGTGGTCACGCAGCCAGATGTAAGGCACACACAGACTGTGAGGCCAGAGGGAGTGATGAAGCTCCAATCGTGTACCGGAGTCCAAGGCTCTGGTTTCTGCAATTTAATATAAATATTGAACATTGATACATTACCTTTGTGATTTTTCAGGACTATCATTACTACATCTTAACTGCCTAATGGCAAAAATTAATATACTGTACTGTTTCATTCACCTGGGCTCTAAGAGACTCGAACTGTAAGCACGTGTGTAAGGTTAGTTAGTTAGTTTAGTTCATTTATTATGCACCCCATACCCATCTTGTGGGCGGTAGTGGAAAGGGTGCCAAAGCTATCTTATAAATATCGTACTGTATACTGTATTTACAGTACTGTATATTCTATGATATACTGTATTTACATGCCACAAAACATGGATAAAATGGAAGCAAGACATATTTGAGCAGAAATATCTACACTCAAATATCTAGGTATAATGGCATTTATATTAATGAGAAAATCCACTAAGGCCCCGAGGTGGGTGGCACAAACCTACGACCTAGGCATTGCCAGCCAGCATAAGGTAGAGTATGTGGCTGGCAATGCTTTGATCATAGCTACACACCACCTCACAGCCCTAGTGGACTCTCATTGATATACTGTATCACACTGTGATTTCTGCATGTATCTACATTAAAAGCAACTAAATATTACTCAAATTAACTAGACAGATATAGAAGGAATAACCAAGAAAGACATTTTGGATGTATGTACAGTAGTTAAAGACTGCTTTCTAAAGCAACATATTTCAAAGTCAACAGAGGAAAATACAGTACTGCATTACATTATATGTTACATAGCACAGTCTGGACACCTGTAAAACCATCGAAATAGGGAGAGTTAAGGAAGAGTGATGAGGAAATCATGTTCGACATAAGAGAAATTGTGTAAAATTTAAACTGTCCAGAATCTCAGACTTTTCTATGGTATTAAGACATTTTATATACATGCACCTGTATTGTATAGTTGGCAACCATAAAATATAGAAGATGGATAGTCATTTGAGATAGGACTACTGTATTCTGGTGGTAGATGACGTGACCATGATGTACTTCAAAATGCAAAGTAATGATATTCTTCTTTAAACATGATCTTGGTAACAGTCACTAGGCAACTACAGTACTGTATTCCTGTAAGAGGTAACTACAGTTTATGCGTTACTTTTTTACTTCTATACGTCTATATATTTATACCGTCATATCATGCCTTTTACCATTAAAGATTAATTGGAAGAAAAGCATGAACAAATATTTGTACTGTATAAGCAAACCAAAAATTAATATATTACTAATCCTAAAAATTGCTTTATGAAACTACAGTAGCAAGAAATTTTGCAAAAAAAATTAGCAAGGAAAATAATAAAGAATTACTATGTTGGGAAGAAAAGAGCAAATTACAAAATAGGTTCTTTCAGATAAATGAAACCAAAATTCGTAAAGAACCGCACAGATCACATTACCAAGGGCAAGTCACAGTAGTGCCACCACCTGGTGTGGGGGAGTAGCAGCTGTTTGCTGCTTTGATCTTTAGACTTTTGAGCTTTCCATTGGCAATCATGCATGTGACAATTCTTTCACCTTATAGGGAGACCTTTTTGAATATTAGATTAAACATCTTAGTTAACTAGACCTATTTCTCCAGTGCTTCCCAAGCACCAGTAGAGGTCTTACAAGGATATTTAAAACTTTTAACAACTGTGCCATATGTTTTTTCTACCCAAGCCTATCAAGTGCAGCAGATCATTATCTTTAATAAAGACGGGTCAGAATAATATTCAGAAAAAAGTATTAGTATCTTACCTACATGAGGACGAGTACAGAACTCCCTCCTCCTCGCCTTCACCTGTCTAAAAATAAAAATTTATGAAGGGATGGTACGACCCAACAAGTACTATAAGGAGATCAAGAGTCAAGACATCCTTTCACGTACAGTACCAGTATAAACAAGTGCCATTTTTATGCAAAGAGCATCTAACTTTGAATCAGATTTAATCAATTTACCTTATCACGTTTTATACACCAATAAATTGTTTGTTACACAAATGAATCATGCTACCCATTACACAAAATACAAAGAATTGATTTGGCATTTTTAATTTTCTATACATAAGCACAAAACTGAATACTAAGTAGGTTCATATTCATCCATTATCTGCCAGATAAACATGATAAAATTACAGTGGGCTTTAGCTCTAATGGATCATGATTGACTGGAATACTTAGGGAAGGGGGGGGGGGGAGAAGAATTGGGTAGGGGACAATTTCTTGACCAACTGGACCTTTGATGTCTGCTTCACCTGTCTTGGGTAGACTTACCCCATCCCCCTCACACACACGCTACCATTAATCATCTATGAAATTTACGGGCTATTCATGCCCGTGCCACCTCTTGGGTGGCTTAATCTTTATCAATCAATCTATGAAATCTTGAATATTTTGTCAAATTTTTACTATTCTCAATACTGAAAACAAACGTTAAACATGCACTCCTTTAAATGTTCTCTTTTACATCAGCCTTAAACAAAAAAAAAATTGCATCACGTTAGAGCAAGAACGTCTAAATAATTTGGGGAGGACGGGGGTTCCCCGGGCATCTGGATGCACGCCCCCCCCCTGATGCCCAAATGTGGAATCTTCCAAGGACACCCAGTTGCCCCCCCCCCCTCCCTCCATCCCACACACAGCATCCGGGCATGTGACCCCCCCCCCCCAGGGCATCCAAATAAGAGAGTCCAGTAGCCCCCCCAGCATCCCACAGGAGAAAGGGGGGGGGGGTACAGATGTAGAATCTTCCCCTGGGGCACCTGGGTTCTGAACACACCCTTTTCCTCCCTTCCCTCACACTCACACGAGGGCATAAATGTACATTTACTAAACAAAAATCTACCAGTTACGGGCTATTCATGCCCGTGCCTTGGGTGGAATAATCTTTGTGGACCTCAACTACCTTCCCAACTCCTGATATACCAATATTATACCACGTGTGACCATAAGCCCTGACCAATCTTAGGGGCTATTCATGCCCGTGCCACCACCTGCTTGGCTGAATCTTAATCAATCAAATCAATCGGGAGGAATATCGAGCCATAATTCTCACAGCACAGCAGAGAGGCGGTGCCCAGCCCGGGGGGAGAACCTGACGAAGGCGCCGCCGCCGAGGAGTCGTGCCACACGGGCCACCAACCCGCCGCCCACCACCACCATGGTCGTCAAGGGGTCACTAGACACACTGTGGCCGGGCTCAATGGCCCCGCCTGGTAACACCCGCCCCTTACCATGTATCATTAACCTCCTCCTCTATTATGACCTATTGCATCAACATATACATAACTCTTGACCTATATATATATATATACTCTGTACTCATCTCATACCTATATTATAAGAGGGCAATACACTGCTGGCTGTAACTATGGGTTGTTAATATATCATAAAATTCTACCTATGATAATTTATACACATGATATCGTTGTTTGGCTCAACCGCGGTGGTGTACTCACCTAGTTGTGCTTGTGGCGGTTGAGCTTTGGCTCATTGGTCCCGCATTGGTATGCAGTGAGTGATAAATTTACTATGAAACTACTTCCCCCCCCCTCACCTTATCCGAAACGCTATGTGTACTAGTGGCTTTAGGTATTGTATGTACTATCTCTATCTTTAAATCTAACATTATGTATGTAACTCAATCTATGTACCTTTACCTGAATAAAAAATCTAAATCTAAATCTATATCTATAATACTATGATAATATAGTTATTATAATATGATAATATTATTATCTTTCATTTATCAATTCTGATTGAACTTACCTACTTAAAATTATCTGCTAGATTAAGGACCTGCCCAAAACGCTGCGCGTACTAGTGGCTTTACAAGAATGTAATTACTGTACTATCCAATGTATTCTCACAAACCCAATGTACCTTCTTGTATATATATAAATAAATAAATAAATAAATAAATAAATAAATAAATAGGAGAGGGTGCAGGGGCGTCACCTCCGCGTCCCGTCAACAGATGGCGCTACTTTATAAGACCATCAACACGTTTTCTAAATTACTAAATTGTTTATAATCGAGTTAAAATTTATTCCGTTTATTAATGTATATAGAAACACTGAGATAAGGACTGCTCCTGAACAAATAGCTTGGATGTGTCACAAAGGAAAGGTTGATGATATTCTGGAGAGAGATATAAGAATTTTTTCGGGGGTGGGGGTTCCGCGCCGCTGGCCGTCACGGGATTGGGGGTGCTCCGACGGAACCCCCAAAGTGAACCCCCAAAACTAATTAGAGATGTCACTTCACTGTATTTGATTTAATCATCATTATAACGGCTATCCATTAATATTATTTCAGTATAATAATTTATGGTTATTCACTAATCATTATTAGTCACCATAATTAATTATCCACTTTAATTATCTATTTATTCGTTATAATGAGCTAGTATGCTTCTTCATTTAAGGATTATCAATTACTTAATCACTTATGATTATTAATTAATTATTTGTATTTAATAAATAATTAATTATTATTTATTATTATAAAAATAAATTAAGTCCCACTCTGTGAGCGTTTTCTTCCAATCCGCAGAAATAAGAATTTTGCACCTGTAATCTTTTATTGAATTATGTGTGTAGCGAGTTAATCTTATACTCGCTCCATTATCTCATTATCTTAATAGCATAACTAATTAGCACTAATTACAGAAGCTACAATCCTTTCCCCAATTACAGGTAATACTCTTCTCATCTTGTTGGAGGGAGCTGAGGTAGATAAAAAGATAAGTACTGAAGATAAAAACTAAGTACCACCTAATTAACTCAATGTAATCTACCTCACCCCTAAATGTCAACCCATGTCTACGATTTTTTACAATGCTGTTTGTTGACCAAATTCATACCTAATGTTCATACCTAATTTTCAGGACAAGGTTTGAGCAGGATCGCCATGGGATGTGTTATTGTATATCCTAATGAAATCAAATAAAATAATCATATTGTATATCCTAATGAAACCAAATACTAATTGATTTGAGGACCATTGTATCCCTAGCGCCCGGGAATGGGAGCAAATGGTGCATCCGACCAAAGGGACGGATGGGGGGGTGGAAGGGGCGTATAGAAGCAAATGGAAAGGAGGTTAATTAATGGTGCGCGTGGAAGGGAAGAATGTGGGAGCGTTTTCTTGGCAACCAGTTTCAAACAGACACAACACCAGTCTCTAAACCCCGGACTAGTAAGTCGTGTTTCAGCTCCCTGTTGTTATATTCACTTCGTAATTACTTGCCATGGAATTTATGAATCTCGACCTCATTAGTTGCGAGGTACAGGAGGTACTGTAAGCAGTACAGTGTTAATAAAGCTTTAAATTGGCCAGGATACTACGCTGGTGGTGTTGGTATGTATTGATCTATGTGTACTAGTGCAACAGGCTAGATGATTGTGTGGTCTGTCTGGCTCCTGGCCGTCTTGCTGATCTGGTAAGTATTTTGGATTTTTAGTCAAGTGTCTCGATTACTATTTATCTCTATTATATCTTCAGCATTTTTCTTGGACAGCGCTATCTTCAGTTCTATTGTTCGTCCGCCCTGTTTGTACTCATACTGCTTGCTAGCTCGTATGTAAATTTCTTAATGTTGTCTGTTTACTTGTCACCGTCTTTTTACTACTAGCCTACTGTTATTTTAGTATCTGTTTTTTATTACTACTCTTGTTCCTTGCGGCCTTCCTAGTGTTTACAAATTGGGGTTCAGTTTCTGACCCCAATTTGTGCCTTTGTAGCGTTTACTACCACTCAGAGGTTGAGTACGGGGTACATAATAAACGTACTAAACTAGCTTAGAATAGTCGGTATAGTGACCATCTATTCAGACAATAGATGAGACTTCCGGTAGATATAGCAAATGGATTTCTCCAAAGTTTTCCATAAAGTACCACATGAAAGATACCAAGGAAATTACAAGCACATCGAATAAATACTAAAACACTAGAACGGATAAAACAATGGCAAAAGCAAGTAAAACAAAGGGTCATCCTAAATGGAAATTAATCTGAAGAAATGTGGTGAGTGTGGAACCGCAGGATTCCATTTTGGGGCCAACCCTTTTTTTCACATACAGTATATCAATGATATAGATGAGAATATTACAAACCACATCATAACATTTGCAGATGACACTAAGATCTATGGTAAAAGTAGGAAGCTAAAACGCTATTGAGGCGTAACAAAGAGGTCTACAATAACTACTAATGGTTGAAGACTGGCAAATGCTTTTCAGTATTAAAAATGCAAGACTGCGTATAGAGCATAACAGTGCACATCACCATTATTATTATATCAACAACATTACCATGCAGCAGATCGATGACGAAAAGGACCCAGGAGTTGGGATCCACCAGTCATTGAAAGCTGCACAAAAAGTGAATGTTACACGTTAAAAAGCCAACCAATTAACCTTAGGAACCGGTCGTTGTCAACCCTTAAGCCTCGAAGAAGACAATATATGCAGCACCCGGGGGAGAGGCACATATTGTCTTTTTCTACCACCCCACTCCCCTTATATATTTATGTATATAGGGAAATTTATTGTACAAGATTACATGATTACAAAATGTGGCCTTAACACATACACAACACAACCAATACAAGTAAAATGAAAAACACGCCAATGGGAAACATTGATAAGTCACGGACAGATTCGATCATTATTGCAAGTCAGACACTTCTTCGAATTCCTCCGAAGTTGGACTCGTACCCAAGATGCAACAGGCATTTCCCCTCTGAATCGCGACACTGAGGCGCTGGAACAAGAAACTTTTCCCTCTCTGGTCTTTTGTAGCGCCGATCGGTTTGTCCCCCAATTCCTTCAGGAACTTCAATGCACATGACAGGGGACTGGGGCCTGACAGCTGAGTGGACAGCACTTCGGATCCATAGTCCTGAGGTTCCGGGTTCGATCCCTGGTGGAGGCGGAAACAAAGGGGCAGAGTTTATTTCACCCTGATGCTCCTGTTCACCTAGCAGTAAATAGGTACCTGGGAGTTGGACAGCTGCTACGGGCTGCTTCCTCGGGGTGTATAACAAAAAGGAAGTCTGGTCAAGGACCGGGCCGCGGGGACGCTAAGCCCCGAAATCATCTCAAGATAGGAGAAATCAAAAGAATCTTTGACTTCAAGGAAAAGAAGGTAATTATTCAACTGTTCAAGTCTCTGGTGCAGCCCCCATCTGAACTTTGTATTTAAGCATGGAGACCTCACGGTCAAAATGACATATCTCTTTTGATTTGAAAAAAAAATTCAACAGTGACAAAAATCATTTCTGAACGAATTCAACAGTCATATCAGGAAATGTTGAGGACCACAGGGCTAACAACACACCAGACATGACAGGGCTGCTCTCATAGAAACCTTTAAAATACTAACCAAGTTGGAGGATATTAGTCCAGACCACATTTTTAAAAGGTCAAATGTGACGTACACAAGGGCCAACGGTATCAAGCTCAACAAGTCACTATGTAGGAGATACTTATTAGCCCAAACGATTATAAGCCCACGGAACCACCTACCTGCCGAAGTCGTAAATTACAAGACAATACTGCAGTTCCAACTTCAATTGGAGAGATATTTGCGAAACCGCCAGCTTCCTGTCCCTGTCGTGGCCATTAGAGACATAGTGGCCCTTAAGTAAATTTAGATAAATTATCAGTGCTCTTTGTAATTTCACATGTAATAATGTAATCTCAAATCCTTCTCTCTCCTGCACTGAACAACCTTATATATAGTGCCAAGCTCCATTTTTGGTACATATACTTCACAGTGTCATGTATGCATTACCACCTCTGTCTTTAACTTGCAAAGATTGTAGTTAAATATACGATCTACAGGTGGAACTTTCTAGTTATATATTTTTGGAGGGGCATACACATTGCCATTTTATGTCTCCCGTTTTCCTTGGCTGCCCGTGTTATCGAGTCCAGAGATAACCTTCTATCACATAATATATCTTGAGGTATATCACATCTTACATCGATAACCTTATGTCGTGCTGTGATAGTCTTATCACAAGCTCCCTTCAACCCCGCATGACTGTACCAGTTCTCAAAACTAGTTATGGACTTGACAACTTTTTGAAGCATTAGCCTCATCTTGTATCTCTTATGGTTGCAGATTCATAGGGACTTTTTATTTTGCTTTTTAGAAAGACGGTGTTTAGGTTTGTAAGCAAATTGATTGCTCATTCTTATGAGAATAAGATGAACTTAAAATATTTTCTTTTATAGCAACTACAATGAATTAATTCAAATTGAAAACTTGATTCATAAATGTTTATACTGTAATTGAATTATTTTACACAGAATTGCAAAATATTATTTACATAAGCGAAACATATTAACAGCATGATACCTAATCATTATAATTATATATTATATAATCTAGATGTAGATTTAGACGCTAAATTTCAATCTGCAGATCCGCTAAATACGAAAATCATACCTGTTGGAGCTAGGACAAGGTGGAGGTGGCCCCAGGGATGGGGAAGCTTGGGGTGAAGCTACGACCCAGCAGGACGACCTGCGCCAGGGTCGTCGAGGAGCCCGGGACGGTCCTGAAGGAGGTGGTCACGGACTCAGGACTCAAGACGCCACTTCTTCCTAGTCAGTGACCGCGTTATATATACACCTCCACTCTATAAGAGACAAACCATTATTCATTCGTCTAACGTATCAGTTGCTTCAAGAAACGTGCAAGTTGACCATATATATATATTTTTACATAAGCACTCAATATTGCATTTTAAGTTTCAGTTATAACATTGGCAAGGCTTTAAACAGGGTTTAAAGAAGGTTTACCTTCTTCTCACTGTGCCTGCAGCTGCCCCTGCTTCAGGAGTACGCCAGCGGGTCAAAAAGGCGCAGCAGCAGCCCAGGTATGTCCCTACTGACTGGGACGACTCTCTTCCCTACGGCGGCAAGGTCTTCCTGGCCAGACGGAAGCTGCCGGATAGCTGGTTCTGCGTCGCCTTACAGGTTACTCATGCCTCATGTTACTCATGTTAAAGTGACAAATATCTGGGTATTTTCCTGTAATCTCACCAGTACTATCCTGTGTTATTATCTTTTGTGAGAAGACATTACCACTACTTAACAATAATAATAATAATTATAATAATATATTATAATATTCATATTTTTTCTTTCTTAATACACACACCTACTGTTCACCACCGTCCTCTTAATCTGTGTGTACTAATATTCCCATCACAATATCTGTACACCACAACTACCATAATTATAACGTGCCAACACCACTACACCCACCACAACTACCACAAACCTCTACGGGTACTACACCCACAAACCTTTATGTGTACTACACCAACCACAACTACCACAAACCTCTACACCCACCACAACTACCACAAACCTCTACACCCCACCACAACTACCACAAACCTCTACACCCCCACCACAACTACCACACACTTCTACACCCATCACAACTACCACATAACTCTATGCCTCCTACTACACCCACCACAACTACCACATACCTCTACACCCATCACAACTACCACATAACTCTATGCCTCCTACTACACCCACCACAACTACCACACACTTCTACACCCACCACAACTACCACATACCTCTACACCCACCACAACTACCACAAACCTCTACACCCACCACAACTACCACATAACTCTACACCCACCACAACTACCACAAACCTCTACACCCACCACAACTACCACAAACCTCTACACCCACCACAACTACCACATAACTCTACACCCACCACAACTACCACAAACCTCTACACCCATCACAACTACCACATAACTCTATGCCTCCTACTACACCCACCACAACTACCACACACTACTACACCCACCACAACTACCACATACCTCTACACCCACCCACCACCGCAGGTACTGGTAATAGCAGGATCAGTGGGGCTGGTGTACTACGCATGGTACCACGGTGACCACATGCACTACCACATCACCAAGGCGTATGCTCACCTGGGTCACCGTGAGGCCCAGGCCACCGTCGGCCACAAGCTTCTCAATGGTAAGCATGATGGGTTCCTGAACGAATCTGTGTTTTCATTCTTGACGATGTCTTCTTAGCCTTGAGCTCTCTATTCCAAAGCTCGTCTTAAGCCTTACCCCTGAAATAAAATCCACCTGTCAGTTTGCACCCAGAGCCCTAATTACTGTTGGGTGAATAGGGACATCCAGAGCCCTAATTACTGTTGGGTGAACAGGGGCACCCAGAGCCCTAATTACTGTTGGGTGAATAGGGGCACCCAGAGCCCTAATTACTGCTGGGTGAATAGGGGCACCCAGAGCTCTAATTACTGTTGGGTGAACAGGGGCACCCAGAGCCCTAATTACTGCTGGGTGAACAGGGGCACTCAAGTCCATAATTACTGCCGGGTGTGCAGGGGCACCCTGTCAATCCTCCCTGTCCAGAACTCGAACCCAGCATGGGGCAAGTGTGTTACCACTGTCGACAACGGCGTTGATGTATACAGTCAATCAATTTAATAACATCTTTGTCTACAGAGAATACATTATGTGTGATAATGCTGCATGATAGGTGTATGCATCTAGAATTCTAAATTGTAATTAAGTACCCAATTACAGATTTTGTTTTCTTCAATTTTAAGCAGAATTAACAAACAATTCTTAAAACTAATAACCATTATAAGAATAAAAATTATGACAAGAATAATATCAATTCAGTTTTTGTTAGAATGATTAATTTCATAATACCTGTACTGTATACTAATTCATGTAGACATTAAATTCAAAAGTTATAGGAGAAGAAAAGGACAGAATAACAGTACCCATTAGCCACTTACCTGGTGTCTACAGGTAAGGGGGTGGAGATGAACCACACCGCAGCCATGGAATGGTTCAAGAAGGCTGCCGACCAGGGTCATCCCGAGGCCTCGTACAACGTTGCTGTTGGTCACCTCCAGGGCCATCATATCGGACTGCAGCCAGGGTGAGGGAGAGACACCTAGTGATGTGCGGTGAGGCAAGAAGAGGGAAGAGATGTACTGAGAGAAGGAAGGAGGAAGACGGGAGGGGAAAATACTAGAAGATAAGGCATGATAGGGAGGGGGATGTACAGGAAAAGCAAAAAGAAGAGAGAGATGAATAGGTATAGGAAGAGAAGGAAGAAGAGGGGAGGCAGGGGAAAGAGGGAGAGGAGGGGAGGGACTGGGTAGTACTGTATATAGACTCCAATTAATGCTACCCTATTTTGTATAAATATTTTTCCTTACACTATTACATGGAGTTCTCTTTCTAAATTTATTCTGGCTGATCAAAATTATGCCCATTTTAACATTGGCTAACAAAGTAATAATTCAGGAAATAAAGTATTTTATACAGTATAACAACTTCATAAAATGCAATTGCACTGGGATAGTCTGCACTAGGCCCAGCACTGGGATAGTCTGCTCTAGGCTCAGCACTGGGATGGTCTGCTCTAGGCACAGCACTGGGATGGTCTGCTCTAGGCCCAGCACTGAGATGGTCTGCTCTAGGCTCAGCACTGGGATGGTCTGCTATATGCCATGCTGTGTTGTGAAGACATTCAGTGTGACTGATAACTATGGTACTGTACCTCCATTTATAAACGTTGCTCTTCTACAGTGATGCGCACAAGCTGATCAGACACGCCGCCTCCCACGGGGTGCCCCAGGCAGTGGAGGTACTGGAGAAGGTCTGCTCCACAGGCCATTGTGACATCTAACCTCGAAGTTCATGCTGAAGGCAATAATTAGTGCCTGTATGCTACCATCCAGAATTGCGTTTCTTTAATTATAAATTAAGTTTTACTTATAATTGCCCAACACCTACCACCGAGATTAATCTTGAATCCAATTCCAGTGCTTCTTTCACTTTTTAAGTGGCAAAAGCATTTGATCAATGTTTCATTTCACCTGACACCTCTGTTCACCTAGCAGTAAAATAGGTACCAAGGTATTGGACAACTGTTGTAGTGTATCCTAGGAAGGTCAGTGGTTGGCCTAGGTAAGCTTAACTGGCCTCCAGTATCCAACAATGTGATGCTGTATTCACTTGGTTCACAATAACATTATGCATCTCACACACACACACACACAGACTACAAGACTAAAATATTGGGAGATTATGGGGAACTAAATCTCACATAGCTGGAAAAAAAGAAGTTAGGGGAGACATGGTCACCACATACAAGATCCTCAGAGGAATTGATAGGGTAGATAAACACAATTTATTTAACACAGGGGAAACAGGTGGAAACCGAGTACTCAGATGAGCCACAGAGATATTAGAAAAAACTTTTTTTAGTGTTAAGAGTAGTTAACAGATGGAATGCATTAGGCAGTGATGAGGTGGAGGCGGACTCCATACACAGTTTCAAATGTAGATATGATAGAGCTTAATAGGCTCAGAAATCTGTACACAGATTGATTGACAGTCGAGAGACGGGACCAAAGAGCCGAAGCTCAACTAGGCGAGTACAGCAATTGTTCAAAAGTTCCACATTAATATTTGTATTGGAAAATAAAATAAAATAAAAATTTTGTATGTTTTATTTACATATTTATAAGAAATGATAAAATACGTAACAAAGAAGTTTTCCACTACACTTCCTACAGTATTATAAGTCTTTTAAAATATATCCAACAATTTGCTACTCTTTTTAAATGTTGAAAATAGAGTACCTATGAAGCAGCTACATTTACAAAGATGAAACATCTGCAATGGAAGTCAATAGTATACATAATGGGAGCGGAAAAAAAGGAGGATACCGAAAAATTAATAACTTACGATAAAAATGAGAATGTATTTAATACTTGTTAGGAAATGTCTGACACAGCAGGAGTGTTTGCCTATTAACACACCCTTTGGTTAGTACATGTTCGTCGTAACTTATGTCTTCTGATACCACAAAAGCCAACATATTGCAGTTACAATACTGTTATCTACACTTAAATAACTGCAATCAAATATAGTCTTAAAACCATCATGTGGCAATACACCATCACTTTTTATTAGATAAAAAAAATAGATAATACCGATTACTTGCCAGAACATCTACACGTCAGCACTAACACACATTACCTGAAACCTGCCACCACAACCACAACACTTCAAGTACACATTCACTTTATGCACCTTACTCAAAATGAAAATTATTAAAAAATAATAATAATAATAATAATAATAATATGCTAGATATTTTAGCATGCACCCTCCCATAACTTTCATAATGATTGAATAAACAATTCTCAAAAGAAAGCTCTAAGAAAGAATATAAGTAAGAGTAAGAATATGTAACAAAGAGGTCATAGGGATCCTTGAGAAAGTCAATATGAGAGCAGAAAGACATAACATGAGCACTGCCAAAGGAGTTAGTAATACTTCTTGAAACAAATCACCCCCTCTCTCCTTCAGCAAAGCTTGGCAACAACAAAGGAAGGTGCTACATCTCACTTCAATATGGATACAGTATTTTCTTCATGCCATGGTAAACACAGATGGTATACTGTACTGCAAACTTGGATAGTACAGTATTCTATCAAATGTTAAAAATATTTAACCCTTTTTTTGTTTAATAAATGCATGAATTACACTAAAACAAGTTGAACAAAAATTCAAAGTAATATAACAGTGCAGAGAATAATTCACAAAACATGGCTGAAACACAAGTTCATAAGGGGTCCAAGATGGACCTAAATATCTTCACTTTCAATTCACTTCATATATGTGATTATGGTTATTTATTTCAGCCATATTACTGTGACATTCTCTGCATTAGTCTTCACAATCAGATTGAGTTAATCTTTCAACCCTACACTAAACATAGTCTTTGTTATTCAATACAACAAGCAAATATCAATGGATGCTACTATAACAGCCAATTGCATTCTACAATGCATCAAAATCAGCTGTCTAAAAATTGTAATTGATTTTACGATATTAGTAAACTTTGAACAGAATTTTTACTGCAATTACAGCAATGACATTATTTTTTCAGCCTGCCTAACCATAGACTTCATACACATCAGATGATTCACCTATTCCCAAGAAAACTCACAGGCAATATTCCAACATTTGTTAAGAGATCACCATAACTTTCCTCCAAATGTATATGAAAAAAGGAACAACTCAAATTGTCAACATGTTGAATAATAATTTTCTGCTAATTGAATATCCATAGTCTTACACACTGGTGTTTCAGGATTTAAATAATCTATGGCCAATGGGTGTCACAAACACAGCAAATTTAACAAAATTCACTACTATCCACATTCAATACAAATTTTGTACAACACTGCTTGCCAATTCCAAAACAGCAAGCTTGGAAATGTAGAAGACAAAAATTCCATCCATTTATATAGAAAACATTCTTGAAAGCCAAAGATGCTGAACTATACAACTGATCTATTTCTCAAATGAGCTGTAGACCGTGGCCACATATGATTTGTACAGAGCATCACTATGTGCACATAAAAAGATACATCTGCAGAGAATAAATCACAATTATGTGGCTGAAACAAATAACACATTCCCCGCAATTTAATAAAACAAAATGAAAGTGATGACAATCATGTCACGAATCAACAAGGGTCCAGGATGGACCGAAACATTGCCACTTGCATTTTATGTGTGGTTTTGGACTTTGAACTATTTATATACACATAATTGTCCTGGTATCAGAATGTTTCAAATGTATAGCTCCAGTTTCAATGCCATACTTTACTAAATAACTGCAAAGCTGTTCTTAATTAAATCAAGATTACTGTATATAGATAAAAATATCTTCAAGAACAGCTTATCATATTACACAGAGGTTCAGTATATGCAACTCGGAAGCATTGCACAAGAGCTATATGATTTGTATCGTCATTTGCCACTTAAAGTTTTCCAGACAAGTCTTTGCTATGCAAAAATTTCAGTATTTGATACTCATGGGTAGGGCAACCTGTTAAGTTTCGGATATGCAGTACAGGAGGCCTCTAAAGCTCACTGGGAATTTCTAGTAAGTGCAGTTATAGCACTGCTGGAAATAAAGGTGTCTCGGTAGATTCTGGGGAGCCTCCTCCACCTCTTACAGCTACTTAAGAAGAGACTGTAGGTTGGTGAATGCTTGACTGGCCATGGGGCGGATGGTGAAGCGGCCACCTTGCACCACCTGCACATTCCCACCACCGCTGGCTTGCACCACCTGAAGAGCACATTCATTATGGAATGAAAGGAAATCTCTACTAATTTCTTAAAATTAATACAGTACTATATTTCTTAATTTACCTACCTGCTCAATGCACATTGAAATGCTAAAATAAACAAAGTACTCAAATTTATATTTGAAGATTTGTATACATTAAAACATTAAAATAGAAAAGAATTCTTGAAATGATCCAGAATTTTGGCAAAAAATTAAGTCATTTCTGTTTATGCCATCCTTCATTACCAAAATATGTAAAACTCCAAGAGGTAGACAGACAGGGTTGAAATAAAGCTGAATGACCACATGACCCATATCACACTAATCCCACTTTGCTTGCTGTGTCTGATCCCAGACTAAACCAGACCTCATGGGCAGTGAATGATGAAGCAAACCCCTTGCACCATTGATTATCCTTAAAGGCTGAGGGACAAAATTAAAACACCCAGAGAATATGGCAGTAACTATGTTACTAAAGCAGTATGTAAATAAATTCCAGAACATCTCGTACAAGATTAAGGAAGAGAAACATGCAGGGGGGTAATTCAAGATACTATTGCATGCAATCATAGAAGGTTGGTGATCAAGACACAAGACCACAGTAGCTGTGTACACACACATTTAATCTGATTCTTTGGATGAGGGGTGGGGAGGAAGCATATTAAAAATCAGTGATATCCAATTACATAGCTCACTTCTACCACCAATGCTGCCACAGATGAGGCATAAAACCTTAACCTTAGTAAGGATGCAGATGCAGATGCCGATGCCAAGGGTAGCAGAAATGCTCTCTTTCTACTGCGCCGGAGTGGGCTAAAAAAATAATCAAAATACACATCAGAAGAGAACCAAACACAATATAGAAACGGTTGTGGAGGAATTTTACCCATTTTTCTCAACAAATTAAACAGGGGACTTGAGGAAGCAGTTGACTGAAGACAAAAGTGTGACTGAAATAAAGATTTAAGGAGAATCAAAGTGACCCCATTCTTTCACTCCACAGTACTGTACCTTTCCTTAAGTAACAACCTGTTGAACTACTCCCATCAAATTCCAACAAATTATTTACAATAATATCTCAAATGCTTCACAAATTATCGGATAAGTATAAAATACTTATGTAATTTCATAGAGAAATGTTAAACATTTACACAAAGCTAACTACTTCCCCTCTAACCTATTTCTACTATTTTCATGCATTGTTCACATTTGTGCTCTTTCTTCAAACACCATCTCTGATCATCATCTTTGCTTTCCTCACTGTCTCTTACACACAGGGATTCCCCCGAATACTCTTGTCACTCCCTCACTATCCTTTTGTCCATCACTGCCAGACCATCTAAATACACACAATCCTCGATTTTATGAGTCAGTCTTGATACACTCCAAGCTGCCCTTTAACTCAATGTGCTTACACAAATATAGAAACACTAGTGGTTCTTCCCAACTACCACTTTAAATGCACCAGCTGCTTACCTTCTCAGATTCATTCTACTCTTCGCTCTGCTTGCTCAGATTAGTGTCTAATCAATCGCACAACTCTAGTACTTATAAAAGTTATCAATCAATTCCAGTACTTCTCCATTGTCCTTCATTACACACACAGTTTTCATCTCACTCTTACTTCGAGTAACTATAATGACCTCCAGTAGCCTTCTCTCTCTCTCTCTCACATGCACACACAACATTTCAGATATTCTACATAAATCTCTCTTTCTCTGTTCTCATCACCATCTGCATACATCACATTTGATATACAGTAATACTCCATGCATTCCTATCATTCACTAAGCTCACACCCTTCTCTATATATATATTTAGAACAGAGGGGGGCCATATTAGCCTCTTAATTAACAGAAAAAAGGAATAAAATGACAAGAACAAAAGTGTGGAGAAAAAAGTTGGTAAATTGTATGATTTAGTGCACGTAGACGGTTGAAGTGGTGGGTTTCAGCTAAGCACAGGCCAACAAGCACAACAACACTGTATACCTCTAGGTCATGTTTATTGAATGGATAAATTCAATTGCTCCAATAGTGTATTTAAATAAATTTAACCATTTAAGGTTGGATCCTTACATGTCTCTAAAGTACGACGAGCAACATCATAAGATGTTACTAATTTTCATACCAGCATTTTAATGCTTTCACAAATATCCCATCAGCATCTATAGTATCGCCCAGCAGGCCTTGTACATGCATATTTATTAAACATGGGTTATTTTAAAAAGGGACACCCCTAATTAAAAAAAAAAAAAAAAAAAAAAAAAAAAAAAAACATGTGAATTACCTGTAAGCAAATGTAAATAATAAAAATCTTATGCTACAGTATATGTTGACTTGGTGAAGTGTGGAATTCAGAAAGAGCGGCAGGTCATACCCATGCCTCCAGCTGAATTCCACACTTTATCAGGCCAACACGAAGGTAGATATACATACCGGGAGATATTCTCTCACTTCTCATACATACCAGGAGATATTCTCCCACCTCTCATACATACAGGGAGATATTCTCCCACCTCTCATACATACCAGGAGATATTCTCTCACCTCTCATACATACAGGGAGATATTCTCTCACTTCTCATACATACAGGGAGATATTCTCTCACCTCTCATACATACAGGGAGATATTCTCTCACTTCTCATACATACAGGGAGATATTCTCTCACCTCTCATACATACAGGGAGATATTCTCTCACTTCTCATACATACAGGGAGATATTCTCTCACCTCTCATACATACAGGGAGATATGCTCCACTTCCAATGCTCAGAATTAAAGTTTATTTGTTGATTGGTTTCTTAATAACCTTTTTGTGGTGGACGGGCCTTTAGCTCAACACCAAACCCATTCTGACTGTTGGGTCAGTGTAAGTAAGCAAACTTGATTGTACTCTTACAATCAAGGACTAGGAACAAATAGGTTGCTAAGCCCAACAGGTGCATGGATAAAGAAAGTTATTATGTTAAGACTTAGCCAGTAACTTACTTATTGGCTAAGTTACTAACTTAAGCCAGTTAGACTTTAGAGTAGTTTTAGTACTAAAAAGTAAAGTACAGTACATCTCTTAATCCTACTTCTCAATGTAAAGAAACTCACTGACTGACTGGCCCAGCAGTCAGAATTGATGTGGAATTGGACTGAAGGTCTGACAGTGTTATTAACATCAATGCAATAGGAATACTGTAGTCCTGAGCAGTTTCAAACCAAACAAAACCCCTACCGAGTATACAGACAAGTGGGTAATATTTCTTAAATGTATATGTCCTGCCAGACAGACAGACACACTGAGATACCCCAAAGCATCCATCTTCATCATATCAAAACAAGAACAAAAATACGCAACAAAAAATTACAAGGCTCTGAGTAAATGAAGATCTCCAAGATTTGAAATTTGCAAATTGCACTTAGATTTTCTTGAGATTAATTATTCCCCAAAAAGTATATAATTTATGAAAGAAATATCTTTTGTGAGGAATGCTCAGCACAGAACTCAAAAGCATGGCAAGTAAATACAAAAACGCAACACAATATTCTGGCACACAAGGAAATATAAATAATATGATGTATCTACCAAAAAAGATCACTGGAACAGGATACGGATCGAATCAGCCAAGACGCACACCATGCCCATGTCGTGGTCCAAGAGCGTGGAGAGCATCTAAGGTGACCCAGGATGCTGGTCCCCCCCCCCCCCCACCTCCCGACACACACATACACACACACATCCAGCACCAATGTTCTTTACCATACTCCAACTAGTGTCATGCCAGAGCCGGTAATGCCCCCGGCTTATCTCCTATGGTGGAATTTAACAAGTTTGTGATCCACATAGACACTGCTTGAAACCTAACAAAGAAAAGAAAGCTGACTATTTGAGACCTCCAGTAGCACTCAGCATTTCAAAACCCTAATTCCGCAAACCTAAACAGCATTTCAAAACCCTAATTCCGCAAACCTAAACAGCATTTCAAAACCCTAATTCCGCAAACCTAAACAGCATTTCAAAACCCTAATTCCGCAAACCTAAACAGCAGAAAGGACAAGAAGTAGTCTCTACCCAAGGCTGCATTATTGGAGGGGAGACAACATAGCCAAGATAGGGTGTGAAGTTGGAGTCCCATCTAACAGGATAAAGGTAATTATCAGGAGCAAGTGCTAAGCCATTATGTCTATACTGTACAGCACTTGGAATGGGTGAGAATAAGGATTTGGGTTAGAATGGAGGAGAGGAATGGTACAAGCAATTTGGATGGTCCAGAAATGAACGCTGAGCTGCAAGAACTGAGACGGTCACTCTACCGTCGAGTCCAAGTGTCCAACATACAATAATGAGCCTGGCTTCACGTTGGGCCCGAGGAGTAGAAGAACACCCAAACCCCCTCTCCAGGTATGCTCCAGGTAAGTGGTTACATGACAAAGTAGCAGACTAGTGTTAAACATTTCAGGCAAATTTCATCTCCATACATTAAGATGGGAAGAAAACCTTATAGTACTTTAGTACAGTACTGTACTGTAATAGCCTACTACATTGTTGTTATCTTGTTATACATTAATAACCAACTTCGGTTATGGCCTGTAACATTAAAACCTAATTGAGTAATATTATGCTCTACTCTACGAAAAAAGAAGCAACTACAGTACTGTATTGATAAAGTATTTATTGTACTCAAGTTCTATTCAAATTCAGCAGGAAAAATATATCCCCAAATTTTGTATTTAATAAATAAGATATGCACATCCACATGTAATACAAAATATCACTCATTAGTTATTAAGCTATGTTTTGCATAATACACCATTCTATATGGTCATACATTACCCTACAGAAACTAGGTCAAATGTTTTAAGCAACAATAGCAGCCGAGCATTGTGCAAAAACTAAACTAAAGAGAGTTATTGTATGCTTTTACAGAGAACTTATTACGCATATAATATAAACTAAATTTAAAAAAAAAAATAAAGCTTAAATTATACTGAAACACAGCTTTCTGGGAGGCCCCAGTCAATCTCCAGTAGCCTGCATCATAAACACATACAACGCTACCGTGCTTCTGGACAAGTGCAGGTCTACCACCCTGCAAACACACAACGTAACAGTCCCTATTTTTTTCCTTGTTGTAACTTGTAATAATGTTATTACATCTTGTTATAACATTTTTATGATGTACAGTATTAGAATGTTGTTACAATTTTCTATATTGGTTGTTACAACTTGTTCGAAAGTTGTAGCAACGTCGTGTGTTTGGCAGGCGCAGACACCAGGAACATAATCTGGCGTGCTCATACTGCAAGGGGGAGTATGGGAATCTGAAACCAACTCCCAAAACAGTAAAACTACCACCAAAAGATGAGGCAAAGCAAAACAATGCTATTGATTAGAGACAAAAGAATGCAACAAGACAAATGGTAGATTCCCAAAGGAAATCAAGCAATATGCCACCAGGTGGCAGCACAGGTCTCCCATAGGTCTATATGGCATGCATCCTCGGTCAAGTGCCGCCCCAAAAACGACACATTTCCACAGGAAAGAAAAGCAAAAACAGATAGGTATATATATATATATTATATATACTGCTCCACCAACATTTGTTCAGCTAGCCAATGATTTCTGCTCCTCTAAAGGCTCCATTCTAGCAAGGATACTCTGCATTGTGAGGTCCTGCTAATGCTATTATTAGAGGAAAATGCTCCTGGAAGCAATAGTAAAAATCCAAGCCTGTCATGGATGCCTGTTGCTGCACAATAGGTATCCACAGCAATAAGTGACTGTGATTGGCCTTTGCATTGAAGATAAACATAAACAAATGTTGACATTGACTTAAACAAAAATTACATGAGATTTTGTTATAAATAGCATGTCCAAATATGTATTCTATCATTTGTGCTAATAAAAAGTATTTTATTTGACCCTCCCAAAACCTAAAGATAAATTTTGGGCATTAAATGGAATCACAGGTCAAATAAAAGGAGTTCAGTTCTAATTTATCCAAATTGTAATTAAATGCATATCAATACACCTCACTTTTGTATTTTAAATTTAATCTCTGCCAATTTCTTATTAAATATAACATCCAGATTTAGCAATGCAAGCTGAAATTGCATACATGTATGTTAAAATACAGTGTTTAGGATATGAGAGTTCACGCATTGACTAACCCATATAGTTGACAACTGATAATTGCAGTCTTACCTGTACGCCACTGCCCCCGCTGGCCTGCACAATCTGCAGGTTGCCGACACTGCCCGCCGTAGTACCCTGCACCAGCAGGTTTTGTGTACCGCCGGCACCACCCTGAACCAGAAGATTTGTACCACTGCCACCGCCAACCAACTGTAGACCTCCAGTTGGGCCAGCACTGGTCATCACCACCATCTGATGACTTGGCCGCACTGTCCCGCCCATACCACGACCCACTGTCTGCACCAGCTGTACAGTTTGACCTTGTAAGTTGGCCAGTCCGCCCCCTGCAACCGTGATCAATTATGAGAAAAATAAAATACAAAATATAATAATCTGTATACAGAATATCAAAACTCAATTATTAATCTAAATTACAAACATGCAAAACTCACAGCTGAAAATATTAAGTACATTTTATTAATTGTAAATCAAATTGAAACTACAGATAGGCCAATATACAATAAATAATATTCAACTTTAATAAACTTCAACCTATTTTTAAATAAACCTACAAATCATGATGCTGTGCAGATAAATCTCTTCTCATACACAACCATTCCTTTAATCTCTAACTTACTCAAATCAAATGCAACAACAAATTGTTTAAATTTACTTAGTCCACTTTGAACTCAAAATCAAACATTTTATTTGTTTTATTTTAGAATATGTATATAAAAAATGCTAACCTGAGCAGGTCACACAGTAACTCCCTAAGGTAAAATTCCACTGTCTCAGTAGAAACTGTAACATCAAGGCAGAGAGGAAGACATGCTGGGAACTGCTAGAGAGAAGACTTCAAACAGTTCATGCACCCACACACACTTAATGAAACTAGGCAGTGGAAACAGGAGACCAGACACAGGATACCGAATGGGAGAGGTAGTCCTTCATGAAACGGACAAAGAGAAAGATCTAGGATAGTTCCAGAATACGAAGCTGGAAAAAGTTCAGAGGTATGCCACTTGGCTAATCCCAGAACTAATAGGCATGAGTTACGAGGAAAGGCTGTGTGAAATGTACCTCACGGCACTGGAAGACAGGAGTATGGGGAGACATGATCACTACCTACAAAATTCTCAAGAGGAATTGACAGGGTAGATAAAGATAAACTGTTTAACAAGGGTGATACATGTTCAAGGAGGGACAGGTGGAAACCGAGTGCCGAAATGAGCCACAGGGACATTAGAAAGAACTTTTTCAGTGTCAGTAGTTAACAGATGGAATGCATTAGGCAGTGATGTGATGGAGGCCGACTCCATGCGCAATCTCAAATGTAGATATGATAGAGCCCAGTAGGCTCAGGAATCTGTACACCAGTTGATTGACAGTTGAGAGGCGGGACCAAAGAGCCAGACCTCAGCCCCCGTAAGCACAATTAGGTAAGTACTTAAATTGACTAAGAGAGCACTGGAAAGACATTGAAAAAGAATGCTCCTGTATTGAACGATTGAAAAGCTCCCTGTGGAACTAGTACCAGAATGTCACCTTGACTGACATGTTACAGTTCAATCTGTCATCCTACAAAGAACTTAGCTTTTTGATCGTATGCATTACATAAGGCCAAAAATTGTCATACTAGAAAATGGAAGCAGCTCGTGAAAGTGACATACAGTCCAGTTTTCTGTTTTGGGTCCTCTGGTAGGTTAGGAGAGGACTCTTGACATTGGGAAACCTTAGGACGGGCTGTGCAGTTTCCATTGTGACAGTAGAATCTTACCTAAGAGAGCAACCGAATGAGATAGCTCAGAAATATATATATGCTGTACTTAATTGAATGGCTACATCCACAGAGTACATTAATATTTGCTTTGAGTACCTGCTTGTGCAGTGGTAACTGTAGCAGTGGGCCTAGGACCGAGATGCAGGGACGTGGCAACCACTGAAGTGGTGGGCAGCGTATTTGGCGTGGCTGTACTGACTATTAACGTAGATGATGCTGGGGCAGCCGACCTAAGAATCTGAGCTACTGCTGCCACAGATGTCACAGCTGAAGTGGGTGTTGAAAGAGGGAGAGCAGTGGAGTATGTAACACCCGGTGTCATTGTGGGAACAGTTGCCAGAGTTGGTATTCCCGTAGCACGGGTGGTAGAGGATACAGTAGATGAAGCTGTAGACTGATGAAGAGTAGTAACTGTGGGCTTGATGCTCTGTGCTGAAGCACGAACCTTCTTGTATTCCCGGCGCCATGCAAGCCACTTGGACACCTGTGTTGAATATTACTAAAAATAACGAAAATGCCTATACTGTAGATATAAGCTATCCTCTGAACTAAAAAATATGTTTAAAGTTCTCCTTAATATAAAGACTCTAGCATTCATTAATAGTAGCAATGCCTTACACCTGCAAAGAAAGTGTTTTGCACCCTGTGATTTAATATGTAGTGTATGCACACCACACATTAAAATACCTCAAAAATATTTAAAACATATTACCCTTTGGCACAAAAGCGATGTATACAACCAAGAGCAAATACAGCAACAAAATAACCAACTAAATCAGTAAATTGCAGAAAATCAAACTATACTTTCCCATGAGAAGACCTGGAGATATTGTAAAGATGCAATATGTATTGTACAGAAATAGTTATCAGTATTAGTCTGACCTTCAATTTCTACAACTGCCTAAGGTATGATCCACTGCATTTCTGGAAAAGGGTAATGTACCATCAGACAGGCTAATATAATGGCAGGATACCATACTGACAGGCTGACATAACAGGATACCATACTGACAGGCTGACATAATGGCAGTATACCATACTGACAGGCTGACATAATGACAGGATACCATATTAACAGGATGACATAACAGGATACCATACTGACAGGCTGACATAATGGCAGTATAAGATACTAACAGGCTGACATAATGGCAGTATACCATACTAACAGGCCAACATAATAACAGGATACCATACTGACAGGCTGACATAATGGCAGTATACCATACTAACAGGCTGACATAATGGCAGTATACCATACTAACAGGCCAACATAATAACAGGATACCATACTGACAGGCTGACATAATGGCAGTATACCATACTGACAGGCTGACATAATGGCAGTATACCATACTAACAGGCCAACATAATAACAGGATACCATACTGACAGGCTGACATAATGGCAGTATACCATACTGACAGGCTGACATAATGGCAGTATACCATACTAACAGGCTGACATAATGGCAGTATACCATACTAACAGGCCAACATAATAACAGGATACCATACTGACAGGCTGACATAATGGCAGTATACCATACTGACAGGCTTGACATAATGGCAGTATACCATACTAACAGGCCAACATAATAACAGGATACCATACTGACAGGCTGACATAATGGCAGTATACCATACTGACAGGCTGACATAATGGCAGTATACCATACTAACAGGCCAACATAATAACAGGATACCATACTGACAGGCTGACATAATGACAGTATACCATACTGACAGGCTGACATGCCAGGATGCCATACTACCAAACATACCAGCACCCAAGAGATCTTTTCAAACTACTCCTTCAGTAGGATTGCCAACTATTCAAAATAAATTTAGAAGACCAGAACACCGGTTAATGTTTTTCATTTGATAACAATAGAGTAATTTAACTTAAATATCAGTCACCATAATATTTAACAACAAAATTACCTGAAAGAATCCAAACCAAGACAGTCGCATCTCTACACAACTCAAAACAAAATATAATCAACTGTTTCGGAATGAGATATTCTTGCTTCAAAAGTGTTGGAAAAGATTGACAAGAAAGATACAAAAATAGCTAATAGTGTAGAGTCAATGTGACAAGAAATGGTTTATCAAGAGCCAGCTTACACAACAAAAACACACCCAAATTGACAAGTGAAAATTGCTCACCTCTTTGTTCCTGCGATCACCTTTATCCTCCAGTTGTTGGTAATAAGCCTCACGTAACACACGGAATGCTTGCAGCGTAGCATACGGCAACTGCGTCACCGGATCAAAATACCGAGCTGGTAACCTGCAAACAGAATAAAGTTCAACGATTTTTACCATGTAAAGAATTTGTAATGCATTGCTGTCCAGTGTATTCCAAGTCATTTTATCATCTATTTGATGACTAAGAATAGATGAAACCTGCTAATTTCAAGAATTAGCTTCATGATCTACTGTGAACTACATTTACTGTGCATAATGAAATTTCAGTAGCAAGATAGATCAATGAGAAAATCTTTGAGAATAATACGATGGAAATCAAATTCGTGTCCTGGATCACCCCAGACAAATGCCTTTAATGTGTTCTTTTATAAAGAAAAAAAAATTAGAACTTTGATGCTGACTTTTCCTTTTATACTAAAACTTGAAATAATAATGCTTTTCAGAGAGACTTAGCCTTCATACTTTAAAAACCTGGTCAAGACTGAGCAACCAGTAACGTGCTTGCATATGTCTGTGTACATGCAACGTCTAACATCCTTCTTGAAATATGGTGACTAAAACGACATGCAATATTCTAGAATGGATTGCATCAACAAAATGTAGTGAGAGGTTGGCTTTCTTCGATCACATAACTTGAGAAGGACCTACCACCGAACCACCGACAACTAAGATTCTGCTGACATTTTACTGTCTTTGTACACTACCTACTTTTCTTCAAATTATTAGCAACCATTGCTCTTCATTATTTTATCTCCGAAGTAATCCCAATGTGGATTACATTGCTTTTAGTATAAACCTAATTAATTTAGCATATTAACCAGCAGATAACTTAAAAACAAATAAGAGTTTAACGATTTCTACCTGGTAATGGGGCATATATTTTTCTGGACAACCTTTGGCTTGGTTTTCCTAAATGCTCGCTTGAAAGTCACATCATCAGAGTATGTGATGAAAGTGCGCTCGCATGCTTCCACCTTGTCACTTCCTGACTTGACCAGTGATGTGTTCTCTTTGTTTTCAGTACCTTCTGAGACTGCATCTAAAGGAAGTGGCTCCTGCAGAACAAGAAAAAATAATCAAACATGCAAACCAGAAAGAATAAGAAATACAGCACATCCCGCCACATCACATGACTCGAGGTTACGAATCTCCAGATATGGACACGACAAGTTTTGTACTTCACTCCCATCCACTTCACTGCTGAACGGGCAAACATAATTTGACGTTTTTAACAACAATTATCATAAAATATTTTGTAGTCTAACAGGCTAGTCTAGCTAAGGTGGTCATAAATATTTTTTGCTTTGATAAATCTGCATTTATTGAATACTTAAAAAAACATATTCATTCAACTTTATTATAACATACATATACACCATACATAAATTACCATTACCCTGATTCCTATTATCATCTAAGGGAGGGGGTTGGCAACAGCCCAACTAGAAACTTTAATAATAATAATAATACAGAGTAATCATACTAACGGGACTGTATCAATGAGAAAATTCGTAGGAGCCGTGATGGAGGCTCAAACCTATGTGGTGGGTGTTCCCATGCACAGGCTCTAGTGACTAGACCACAACATGGTAATAAGGGTTGCAACCTGGAGCAATCTGTAAGAGGAGCGTCGGAGGTAGAACATTGAATGACAGAGCCAGAGTGCATGAGGGGATTGTGTGAAAATCCTGTTCTGGCTTCAGTAGAAGCCTGAGGAGTTCAGTAGAACTCCAGGCTGCAATCCTTATTATCATGTCATGGTCTAGTCCCTAGAACATGTGCGGGGGAACACCCACCACATAGGTTCAAACCCTCATCAAAGCTCCTATAGATTTTCTCAATAATAATAATAATAATAATAATAATAATAATAATAATAATAATAATAATAATAATAATATACAGCACTAAAAAAAAGTTATAAATGTCTAATCCTTTCTGTGATGTATGCTTGAGTGCTATGAGAGTTAACAGGATGAGAGTTATACAAGCAGGAAAGGGTATTAATATATACGGAGATGCCTTGGAGGTGAGGCATCACTGAGGTCACTTGAAAGTACGTAACACAAAAAATTACACAAATAAACAAACATACAATGTCCAAGTGCTCCAGCCCACCTGAGTGACATCCACTTCAACGTTGGGTTCCTCAATGTGAGATTCCTGGGGTGCCTTGAGCTCCTGTATGAGTGGCATAGTGGTCGATTGGTAGCGTATGAATGAACCTGTGAAGCTCCTCCTTACAACCTTGGGTTTCTTGCGATCAAGCTCTGCCAGCTCATACTTTTCTGTCAAAATGAGTACAGAATAAATTTCAGAATCCAAAGGAACAAATCCAAAGAATAATTGTAGAGTTGTCTCTTTTCGTGCAACTTTTACCTCATGCAAATTCACTATTGGTGTTTGAGTACAAGACCTGGGTCCACACTGGCAATCAAAGTGTATTTAACCCTTAGGTACCAATGCCTTACCCTGCCTTAAAACTTTACTTTATCGGACATTCAAATATTCACTGCTCGGTCATGAAGAGAACAGAACCATAGAAGAAATACTGTATAGCAAACCTGTTTGCTCAAATACAGTATATATTATAATCTGAATTAGTAAAATTCTAGTGTATACATTCTAAAATATTCTACAGTATAATCTAAAATTTCCTATTCAATAAAATCTGAATATTTTATAGTATTGTGGGATTGAACCCACATCCCCCAAACTCCTCGGGTACAATATTTTCTCACATATAGCGTGTCTTGTGATTTCATTGTGAAATGTACTGTATATCATTCTGTATATTTGTATAGCCCTAGACCAGATGATTCCGAGACATATCCGCACTGTGCATTTTAAGGTGACTTACCAAGAGACTTTAAGTTGACTTCCTCTGTCATCTTAGCCTCCTCCAGTAGCTCTTCTTGGGTCAACCTGGGATAACTAGGTGCTCGCTCTCGCTTATTCATGGCACGCTTCCTCTCAACTTCAGCACGTTCCCTCTGCCGCTTCACTGTCTCAGCAGATTTCAGCTGTGTTGATTTACGGATACCTTTCTTCTCTATAAAAGGAATAAGATTTGAATCAGTTTCTTATACGTAGCAAACTGAAGAAAACATTCAATCAGCAGAAAATTTGCTGATCTTTGATGCTTGCTCATGTCTCAAAAAAAAATAATATGGTGATACAGTAGTTGGAATTAAAAGTAGCTTTCTTGAACAATATATTTACTAATGACCAAATTAATACTTCAGCTATGTGTAATCCTTTTAATGCTGCATTTACTTTTAGTTTCATCTGTGCAGATTTGCTAACCTGAGCTATCATCCTCATGCCCATTCTGTGCCTGATGGTATGAGTAGCCAAGGACTAAAAATATTCCCTATAATCCTGTTAAGTAAAACATAGCCCCATTTTAAACAAAAGTTTATTTTGTTCATTCCTTAACAAAATATTTAGCAAAATATAAATAGTCACATTTCAATAGAAAATATAGCAAAATTAATAAGTTTTGTAGTATTGTAGTAACAGTGGACAATAATTTTTGTAAGAGAACTACTACTTGCAGTTCACTGTAGACAGTGGAGTTTTGCTCAAATTTAATGATTTATTTTGGACCTCATCCACAGTAAAAGAATTTTCATTGCACCCAATTTTTTGGAAGTATCCCTACTGCAATTACCAGAACATTATCTGATTTCGGAAGTAGTTTTAAATAATCTTGTGCAGCCCTGCGAATAATTTAAATAATTTGTCTATATAGTAAACCATATATTCCTTTATATTTTGTATTTTATTTTTTCGTCAGTTCTTTTCCATTCAGCCTTAAATAGCCCCAATGGTTTAGTTCATTTTTAAACTTGTCAAGAACTAGCTTATAGAAAGACCTCCAGTTTTATTGACAACTACAGGTTAATGAGGTAAAAAGGTTACGCATACTAAATTGTGCATTGTAGACTGTCTTGTGAGTGAAAACTCAATGAATAATGGGTTATACTAGACAAAATTAATATAAGATGTTTAAATGAACATTTGTAATGGGAATGTACCAGGAAACATTTGTATGGGAATCTATTTAGATTCTGCAAAGTCCTTGGTCCAAAGTCCAAAGAACATGGTCACTAAGCTTCTTTGATAGAAGAAGATAGCGAAGGGCAGTTGAGTCAGTAAATTCAGGTCACTGTCAGATATGACTAAGAAAATATTTCAATCAACAGTATAGAATAACTGGGTAATATTGTAAAAATGAAGAAACAAACAACTTTAATACCTAGGGCTGCAAGGTCAAAAACAGCATATTGCTTCTTGGGGGTGAGCTTCTTTTCTTTTAACTTGCTTGAGGTGGATTCTCGCTGAACAGGTTTGGGCTCCTGTTAATTTAAGAATCATTTGAGACAAATACTCATTAAATGTTGAACTTGTCTGCAAGATCCCACATGCAGCCGTATCAGTGGCTAATTTAAAAACACACATTTATAATGTTCAAGCCTTTACCAAAAAAAGACCAGACAGGCAGCAGTCATGTTTACAAGTTAAACCACCTTTTAACACAATGCTACATCTAAACTCCTATTTGCCCAAAACAATTCTTTGTAAGACATACCCAGTAGTACATTCCAAATGTTACAGAAAAGAAACCCATTTGTCATATTTCATAAATCAAAAATTGATCTATATTATCTTAAAATGTCACCTTGTAAGCCTTAGTGATAAGTCTGCCTCTCTTCTTTTTCCCTCCCTTGGCATCATCTTCATGGTCTGATACTGGCTCATCATTTTCATCGATGCTGAAGTCAGAATCTACTTCATCATCTTGTTCCACTTCTGATCTGTAAGCATAAAATTACACTACACTAATATATAGTGTAAGTAACTAAGAAGGCAACAACTTTCTTAGGTTGTCCTGTCCCCCTTTGCAACCTCATTTAAAGATACAGTGCTGTATGCAGACGATGAGTCACAATAACATGGCTGACGTATGCTGACCAGACCACACACTAGAAGGTGAAGGGACGACGACGTTTCAGTCCGTCCTGGACCATTCTCAAGTCGATTGTGTCGACTTGTGTGAATGGTCCAGGACGGACCAAAATGTCGTCGTCCCTTCACCTTCTAGTGTGTGGTCTGGTCAACATACAGTGCTGTATTTACAATTGTTCAACACTTAAAAACCCCATACATAATGGTATAATCTATGAGACCCTTATTCTTCCTACTCTACTGTCTTCTTAAACTGTATTTCCTAATTTATGAACTGTATGTCTCTTTTCAGCCTGTAATATATCATTTATTTTATGGCTATGCTTTAGTTCAGTTATTCCATCTACACCAAGAGAACTTTTCCCTCTTTAACCTATTCATAGCATCTCTCATCTCCCCCTATTAATTTATATTTACATCCACTCTTCCCCCACCATGACTTATCCTTTAACATTCTGTCAAATAAGGGTTTATTTCTTAGGAAACCTTGCTCAACTTTCTCCCAAACTCATCATTTACCCTATTTCATTCCTTAAAATGTTTTTACAATTGTAACATTCTACCTTTGTTCACTGCCTCATATTTCTTTGCACATAATACTGCAGAAATATTTACCATGCATCATTTTTCTTCTCAACAGATTCTGATATTTTCACTCGACCATGCAGTACCTCTCCCATCATGTTTCACAAACATAATTGCAAACATTATCTACAGCTTTCATTGTCTCATCTCACACATAAAATTATACTCATTCTGCATTCGCTTTCTTAAGTTATTATTCCTCTTATATCATCTAACAAGAATTCTTGATCAGTGTTCAGTAATACCCAACACCAATACAGTATTTATTTGCTCACTGATAATCAATGTCATCTGCCTCTTCCATAAATCCACCATATGTAGTCTTGTAGAAATCATCCTCCTCCTCTTCCTCCAATAACCGACACATTTTTGACCCGGCATTATTACGGCGGTCACGTGTTGCTGCCATTGTGTTCTTTATCAATTCTGTGAAGAAAAAACAAACCATCTTAAGTTACGCAATAACCTTTAGCACAGCATAAACCAAAGTCAAACCAGCAACATATTCAACTTTTACTTAAAAACAGCTGCCTATAAATCAACATCAGGAGTCACCAAACAGATGTTTCAACTTTCGAAACCTGTACAGTATATCTTTCCTCAATCGTGGTGGCTTACTTGCATTTATTAAATAATTTACAAGCTTGAAAAAGCTGTGAGGTCATTCTTAACCTAAGGTTGAGAATGACCTCACAGTATTGATGTATTGTTACAACTCATAGCACTTTGGAGCTCATAAACTGTTTAATAAATGCAAACTAAGCCGCCATTACAAATATGGCATAAGAATACAATCCATCCTTTAAAAATGACAGCACCTGTAGCAACTATTTCACCAAACAGTTGTTATAAGTACTATCATGATTGGAGGATGGGTTGATTGAGTACAGTAGTGTTTACCATAACTGTTAGTCTACATAGTGTAAATAAAATTGACTTCATACTGTCCAGATGCAAGTTTCTTTATGCACCAATGTTTTTAAGGGCTTTTCTCGCCTGCTACAATACCCTGAAATTATGTAATGATAATTCTAACCTGTACCCATTTACAATGAAGACAGTTTTAAATAGTATAACCATTTTGCTGATATGATACAGGTCATGACGAAATAGACCTCGATAATATGTCTATACTGTATTATTGAAATAATAAATAGGCCTATGTGCCTCGATAAAATGTTGCCAAATCATGTACTGTAATGTTCAATCAAGCCCTCTGACCTTTTAAACGGGCACGCAGGAGTATATACAATATAGGTAAGTACAGTGTACAGTACTGCCATCTGTTGGCAACATAATCGTAGGTCACCCAAATAGAAGCAGCCAAAGCCAGAAAGAATACCTCCTTCAACTCATCCCAATCTCACACACACATTTCTATGATTGATTTTTTTGCAATAAGGTTGTTATGAGTTAATGGTTTGTAAATTTTCAGGGTCCTGGTAGTACAGACGGGTTTGTTCGAGAATTCCGGGTTCGAATCCCGGGCGGGACAGAAATGGTTGGGCACATTTTCTTTTACCTAATACCTCTGTTCACATAGCAGTATGTAGGTACTCAGGAGTTAGTCATCTTGTTGTGGGGTGGCATCTTGGGTGGGGTCAGTAATTCGACCTTAGGGAGGGTGGGGATCTCGATATAAGTCTATCGTGTATGAATACACTCTGGTTTCCTGTCCCCCGGCACAATGAATTATTATTATTAAATTGTCGCAAGCTATGTACAAGAGATATAGGACTGCAGAGAGCCAGAACCTTAGGCAGGCAGGAAAGAACTGGCCAAAAGACAAATTCTCGGTGAACTGGAATAATGTGTCAAATTTACCGCGGTGTCTCCGTAAACCAGCACTTCCCGGCAGCAAAACACAGTATCCATATTGCATATTTTGTTTTCAAAGTTTGTGCTATTCTCTTGCATTTGGTATTAAATAGCATTTAATAGCTAAAAGAAATTGTGTGTGGATTTTTCTTTTGTGGTCATAAACCAAATGATTCAGTGGGTGCATCTTGGTCATGTATTCATCCCTATTTGACCACCTATGAAATATTTGTTAAATGCTAAATTGAGTAGCAAAAATTTGCTGAGGTTGGGGTAAGGCAGCTGCCATTTTACATGTTTTTAATGATGCAAGCACTGAATAATGGCAAATTTTCACTACTTGACAGACTGGCTACCTAAGAGACATTAGAAATATATACTGTAAATTGACCGATTGATAAAGATTAAACCGCCCAAAAAGTGGCACGGGCATGAATAGCCCGTAATATATACTGTACTATAGTATCATATATCCCACATTGAGTTAGGAAAATACTATGCCATATCTAGATATTATCATCCTTAAAATATTCCCTTCCTTTGTAAATTCAAGATAATGCAAACTTGAGGACTGTTAATGGTAATTCCTTATTTGCAAGTCAATCACTTAAGATAGTGAAGAGAGACTCGGTTGTGCCTGAGGTACAGTAGAAGTAACATGAACAAGAACCCAGTGGGTTTTCTTCCAATTAGGGAATGTTGTACATGCTGTTTTGGCAGAATGTTCATTTACAGGATGAGTTATATTTCCCAATAAACTTGCCTTCTGGAACAATATTAATTTTTGTTTTAAGAGGTACAAGATATTTTGAAAAGGTACGGTACTGTACTTGTTTTGGCTCAAGACTATAGAGCCTTGTGCAACATGTGTGCTGTATAATGGAAAGAAGCTACCAATGGACCTTGCTCAAGACATTAATGATACTGTATGACTACTAGCTAGATACCGGAACCTGGGAAGCCAAACACCTGCAACGTATCACACATCAGTTCAACTATGTATTTTGATTAATATATAAAAGGTGTACTGAAATGATTGCATCACAGACATGAATTATGGTGTCATTTCATATATATATATATATATATATATATATATATATATATATATATATATATATATATATATATATATATATATATATATATATATATATATATAAATGTCTTTCCCTTGCTATACATGCCATTTGAGCTTCAACAAAGGCTTGCTTTTAATTCCAATAACTCATATTAGGTGCTTGGAAACTATCGACTGTACCCTAGGCCTAGGAAGCAAGTGGGATAGCTCGGAAACATTTTACTTTAGAAAAAGAACCATTTCAACATTATATATATATATATATATATATATATATATATATATATATATATATATATATATATATATATATATATATATATACCAACCTTTGTCAAATATACTGCTATGTGCTTTTAATCCTCTTCACTTTTATGGTGGACATGCAGCACGAAGCATTCTTGTGTTCTTTAAGAATATTTGTATCTTTCAGTGTGTACATCTATTGTTGTTTCCTGTGGCCTCCTCTTCTTCACTTAAAACTATTTTGTACTTGTATACTTAGTGAGAGCAACAGATACCAAGGTTTCCAAAGTTATTCCCTCGGCTGAGCAAAATGTACACAATACTGTACTACATTTTCATATTTTTAAAGCTGGTATATAAAATAATTCTGAATAATGTGATACTTGATGGAGCTATAAATGCCATTACTAGTATATATATGAGTTCCCACAGTGAGCTTTGTTTAAAAGTCAAACAGAATTTCATCAACACACATTGCCGCCGTCTTCTTTCTTCATAAGAAAATTGAAGATAAAAAGGTATAGTATTCTCAAACAGCACTTGCTGGATTTGTTTTTATATCTATTGGTACTAGTATTGCAGATAATGTATTATTGTACTCTCAATCCTGTCAAAGTACACTAGGCTATAGTATATACAGTTGTACTTCTCAACTAAATGTGCATTTTAGAATAAAAGATCCTTACAATTACAGTATCTAAATTAATATACTTTTATTTTTATATAAAATCATTTGCAATGTAATAACATACAGTATTTTAATATATAAGACCACAATCACTTGTTCACCAAACTAATTTCTTCGGCAATGCTTCGAGCTCCAGCTGACCGAACCATTAGTCTACGTCCACCAATCTTGTTAATAACTAGCTCAATCAAACCATCAACTTTATGACTAGGAATTCCACATTTAATGAGCTCTAGGCCAGCTTGCAAAACATTTTCACAAAGTTGATCAGAATTAGGCTCAGTAAAGGTTATGGGACATTTAAAGTTTTCTGTAACTTTTTCAGACGTGTTTTTCCTTATATTACATACAGCCATGTTTGACCCTTCGCCATTCATATTTTCTAAACTCCGTAAGTCTTCTTTCAATGTCTCCAGTTTTTCCTGCAACAGAACTGCTACATTAGAGTTATCAGCTTCAGAATCCTTTAATATAGTCTCTAAACAATAAAATTCTTCCTCCAAAACTCTAAGAACTTTGCAATTTGATGATCTTAACTCAACAGCTGCTAAAAATTCTTCGTGCATCTTCTTTAAATCATTCTGAAGGACTGAGAGTGTTATCTTTTTGTTAGCATAGTGTTTCTTGCCAGGCACTTCTCTATTGGGCCTACTATGCTTTTGCTCTGTTATGAGGTACTGCTTATGACTTGCTTCAAGAACCTCGGTGCAGTTGCTGTCCAGAAATCTATTTAAGGTTTTTTCAGTTTTCAATGTTGTTCTCATCATTGTCATCATAAAACAGGCATTTAGAAGAGATTCAGGATGGAAATGTTTTATTTGTTTTGATTTCATTAAGTCTTTAGCACGGCTCACCAGAGTCTCAAGATTAACAGTGTTAGAACCACCAGCCATCAAGACGCTCTGGTTTTCTTGTCGCCAAGTGTCATACACATCCAGTAATTCACGCCGTGTGACAGATCCTTCTGACTGTTCTGAAAGTTTTGGGTTGGAACAATTTTCTTGGGTTGTGTGCTGTATCATAGCCTCGATAATGTTGCCTTCATTCTCTTTATCTGGTCCTCCAACTCTAGATTCATTTCCTTCCGCTGCTTCAAATGACTTACTTCGGTCAAGAGCTCGAGGAGAAGCAGATGAAGATTTTATCTTTCTTGACAATCTGCCTTGATTCTTTCTTCTCACAGTTTTCCAGTATTTTTCTAACATTTCAGGGCACTGCAGGTCTTTTTCATCTACCCAGCTATCCTCTTCTGGTCCAAAACCCAACCACCTGACTAGGTACCTAAATTTATTGCCACTGTCCTTGTTGTCTACTTCTTGGTATTCAATAATTTTTTCAACTTCAAAATTTTCTATTTTCTGCTCATGAGCATCACTAATCATGTTTTTACTTAATTCAGTTCGTTGACTGCTTGTTTGCTTTTCTGATTTTACCTCTAACTGCTCTTCAACATCTTCAAAATCATATTCTTCTAGAGATAGCCTAATACTTCTCTTAATTGCACTCGACCTTTTCCCAACACTCTCCATAACACAGCTTGTCTGTCCTTCCACTTTGCCTAATGTACCATTACCATTCTCACATGTTTGAGAAGTCTCAGTGGATGATTTTTCAGTAGAATCATATTTGCTCTGTTCACATTCAGAGTCTTTCTTGGTTTCTATTTCAGGTTTCTCGTCTGTACTTGAATCATCAGAAATCACAGAATCATCAATAACCAAACTTTTTACACTGCCCTCAGAATCACTGATGTTTGTATTTTCTGGCTGAGTAGAGTTGCTAGCATCTATTTTCTTTGTGATATGTTCAGTAATATCGCCTTCTATTGTGCTTCGACGAGAAGGTCCCGAGAGAGAGACCAAATACTGGATGTCTTCCAGCCAATCTTCTTCCAAGTACATAATAGCATCCTCTTTGCTAACAGTAAGCATTTGTGTATACTCATCATGAAGTCTGACAGAAGAAGACATCAGAGTGCCAGCTGGAATGCGAATTGACTGCACCTTCCTCTCGGCCATCAACTTCTGTACATCTTTCAAAAGATCAGTAACAAACACATTACTACCCACTGCCAGTTTGTTTTTTAACCACTGAGTATACAAAAAAACAATGTCTCCTCGTGTGATTGAGCCTTCCTTTCCTCTTGTCTTTAAGAGTTCATTACCAATAGCAGATGAATTCTCTCGTGGTTTACGAGAGAGTATTTTCTTTGGGCGAGCATTAATACCCTTTAGCCTTTTGTAAGTCACATTTTTTAATTTGTTTATTTTGCCCTGCCTGTGTAACAGCCTTTTCTTGTTCTTTTCATTTATCTTCAAGATTGAATTTACTGCAATTTTTCTTTTCTTGGGACAGTGATGACCCTGGCTTTGGAACAATCCATCTTGATATGAAACCTGTCTTTTAGGAAGCCTAAACTCGCTTTGTAATCTACTAAAATCTTCTAAATTTGTCTTGGCTGCTTTATTTATTGTTAATACAGCAGTCAAAACATGTGTATAATCTAATATTGGTACCCCAGCCATTTGGAATAACTTGAGTGCCAAGGATGTTTTGGTAGCACCCCGAGACACATAAAAATCATGGAGTTCTTTTACCATACCAACTGTCATTTCAATATCCTTTTGACCTTCTGAGTTTATATCTTCAACAGTTACTCCTGCCTCACAACAGTAGTCTCCAAGATAATAGTTAACTTCCTTAAACTTGGGAACCAAATGACCATTCTTAAAAGTAAAAGAAACGACTGAATTATCAATTTCTAGAAAACCTTTGTATCTGTTGCACGTCGTTACATCTGAACCTCTTGTATACTGACTAATAGCTTTTGAAGAATCATCTGTGAAACTGAGCCCACCAAAGGTTATTTTCTTAGTCATTTTCCTTTTATCAGTTACATTTAATGGTCGAATTGATGGGGCACTACTTGGCATAAAAAGACTTTTAATCTCAATAGACTGAATTCCTTTTGCACTGAGTTTTCTAAGTCTACCACTTTTACTAAACCCAATTGTTCCAGGAATAGATTTTGCTTCAATTGGTACAGTTGATACTTCTGAATTTATAGTTGATGTTTCAAACAATTTTTCTTCCTTTACATCAATTTCTGTTTCTTCATTCTGACTGGTATGCACTGCAACATTACAATGGCATTCGCTTTCTTTTTTCACCATGATACAAGCATCATCAGAACTGGTCATCTCAAAATTCCTGTTAATACCCTTAGGGAAATTTTTGTGGCTACCATCTACAAGCATTTCATTCATGCGCTCCTTTGCACTGGTGTACCTCTTCCGGTTATTCTGATTATCACTGAATTCATTTTTCTTTTTGGCATTCTTCTGGTTTACTTTACTTGCCTCTTTCTTACTGTTGTTAACAGCATCATAAACCATTCTCTCATGCTCCTTTTTAACGTTAGACATTACCTCACTCATGATTCTCTCTCTACTTGTTGGTTCCTTTCCACGTGTATGTCCTTTCTTCACCTTTAAGTCCTTATAACTTTCATTTTTCTGAAGCTCTGCTAACTTGCGTTTCTTAAGCAAACTACTTTTTTTTAACTCTTCTGATGAACTATAAGGACTGTCATATAGTAGGTCATCATCAGAATTGATATCCTCCTCTTTAACAGAAACTAATTCATTTCCATCCTCTTTTTCTAATAATGACGGTAAAACAAATTCCATTAAATCAAAGGCTCTTAATTTCACTTTTGCAATTTTTTTACCAGATAGTGTTACTTTAAGAGCATTCCTTCGCTTCAGAACCATGTGTATTTTATCCAAATCCTCAATTGTAGGTTCAACATCATTAACACCACTTAATCGTTGAATCCACTTCACAACATCAACCCGCTTCCAAGAAATACTCTTAGCAAACTCATCAAGTTCATAAACCATCCCATTATTGATAGGTATATTTGTGACTTTCATACTCTCCAAGAAACTAATAGAGCAGCCGACTTCACTACATAGCTCCCCTATAGCATCATGTTTGTCAATGGGAGTTACTGGCTCTATGAATGGTCTTTTAGCTTCTTCCTCTACAGCTCTTGTGCCACTTCTTGTCATTTTCCTAGGGGACACCCGATTTACAGATTTACCTTTTTTGGATTCACTTTGATTAAGCTGCCTCTTAGAACCCATTATTTTACAAGAATTCCGACGTTTAGGTGTTATTGATGCCCTATCTTTATCATTATAATTAATTCCTACCTGTTTTGAAAATTTACTTCCTCTACCAGAAATCGTGGATGCTGCACTCCCAAATGTTAACCCTGTATCCTTGCCAACAACGCTGAAATCCTCCAACTTTACATCTGGAAATCCTTCAAAAGAATCACTGCTACTCCAACTACATTCTGAAAATCCCTCGAAAGTACTGCCACTGGCAACAGAGAATCCATCAAAGCTGGGACTCGACTCCCTACGACTTGAGAACATTTCTTCAACTGTTGGAGGATACTGTCGTATGTATATGGATGATCCATCTTCAAGCTGGGACAAGTAGACTGGCACATCATCCACAATGATTGGAGTATTCCCATCGAGGGAAGCTTCATCTAGCTCCTCATTTTCCTTTTTGATTAACTCTTCTATACTGGGACTGCTGGCGGAGGGTGGAGGGTTGCCTATATCAAGCGGGTCCTCCTCACTTTCCTCCTCATAACCAAACTGATTTGGCTCTTCAGTTTTGTCAATGCACACGAAGGTATTCATCCTAATGCCTTCACAAACACACCACAACCCTCATATCTTTCTCGTTTCACGCTTCAGCCTGATAAAAAAGTGCATTAGAGGGAACTGTAAGTATTTTGCTAGAAATATGCGTCGCACTCCCCGCTCCTTCTCTCCCACCAAACGTAAACAAATTAGGCATGAAAAGCAGGCGAGGAAAAAATGCCATTCCGCCAATGAAAACCTCTACCACGAAAACACACCCTTTTGCCAACCTTTTACACAACCGAGGTTATTCACAAGGTATTATAATTTATCCTTAGATATTCAGGAGAGAGAATACTCACCTTACAATCAACTGTGATGAATATCTGTAGTACGATCACGCAATAATTGGGAAAGATTATTATATGCAACCAAAACAAACTCAGGTATGAAAAGCATTGACAGGCAAACCATCACTAGCATATTTCCTATTATTTAAGGTTTATCAAACTTAGAAATATGTCGCAAAGCATCTTTTCACCAAGTATTTATTATCTACATTTTCGAGAATAAAAAAACGCATGCATTTACGATAGCTCCCTGTAGTTAAGTTTGATGTAGAGGACGCTTGGCATTTGTTGCCCACTTTATTACCTAATACAACTATCTTAGCTATCAATGAAATCCCATACAAGAAATTAACCTGTAAATGTTAAATTCCCAATGCCTTTTCTTACGATTGCTGCACACATTGGTACAGAAACAAGTTGCTACACGTAATGGCGGGATCTATGAACTGACAATCATGCCACAGAATTCGTCCCTATAATATGATATAAACAACAGAATTCTCATTCATTCATTCATTCATTCATTCATTCATTCATTCTCTCTCTCACTCTCTCTCTCTCTCTCTCGGGATGTGAGTGTGTACTCACCTAGTTGTGTTTGCGGGGGTTGAGCTCTGGCTTTTTGGTCCCGCCTCTCAACCGTCAATCAACAGGTGTACAGATTCCTGAGCCTATCGGGCTCTGTCATATCTACATTTGAAACTGTGTATGGAGTCAGCCTCCACCACATCACCCCCTAATGCATTCCATTTGTCAACCACTCTGACACTAAAAAAGTTCTTTCTAATATCTCTGTGGCTCATTTGGGCACTCAGTTTCCACCTGTGTCCCCTTGTGCGTGTTCCCCTTGTGTTAAATAGCCTGTCTTTATCTACCCTATCAATTCCCTTCAGAATCTTGAATGTGGTGATCATGTCCCCCCTAACTCTTCTGTCTTCCAGCGAAGTGAGGTTTAATTCCCGTAGTCTCTCCTCGTAGCTCATACCTCTCAGCTCGGGTACTAGTCTGGTGGCAAACCTTTGAACCTTTTCCAGCTTAGTCTTATCCTTGACTAGATATGGACTCCATGCTGGGGCTGCATACTCACACACATACTCTGTGTGTGTGTGTGAGTGTAATTACCTAAGTGTAATTACCTAAGTGTAGTTACAGGATGAGAGCTACGCTCGTGGTGTCCCGTCTTCCCAGCACTCTTTGTCATATAACGCTTTGAAACTACTGACGGTCTTGGCCTCCACCACCTTCTCACTTAACTTGTTCCAACCGTCTACCACTCTATTTGCGAAGGTGAATTTTCTTATATTTCTTCGGCATCTGTGTTTAGCTAGTTTAAATCTATGACCTCTTGTTCTTGAAGTTCCAGGTCTCAGGAAGTCTTCCCTGTCGATTTTGTCAATTCCTGTTACTATTTTGTATGTAGTGATCATATCACCTCTTTTTCTTCTGTCTTCTAGTTTTGGCATATTTAATGCTTCTAACCTCTCCTCGTAGCTCTTGCCCTTCAGTTCTGGGAGCCACTTAGTAGCATGTGTGTGTGTGTGTGTGTGTGTGTGTGTGTGTGTGTGAGTGAGTGAGTTTGGGGGGGGGGGGAATCCACAGCATAGCATATAATGTACTGTATCTTAACCACAAGAATGGGAATTAAGAGGAGTAATGAAGGCTAAGACAGGCAAGATATGTGTGACAGAGAGAGGATGGAAGGAAAAATCAAACCGGTTGTTTTGTTTGAGTTTGCATATGTTTTCTGGTGGTTATATTTTGTTTTGTTTTGTTTGTTTTGGGTTGATCTCTGATCTCCAAGCTCCCCCTCGCTTTACAAAGCCAAATTCTGGTCATTGCTCCCAGTAGATAAGAGTGTATCAGAAGCCACGTGCATCTCCCAAGTAATGCACGAATCCCTTGCATACAAACCAGCCATAAAACTATGGCTGGTTTTTGAGGTTGGTACATAGATCTTCGAATACGTACCTCAAAAAGTTGCACAAGAGGATTGAAGCTCTAGAAAAATTAGCTATGATAAACAGACGGGGTGTAGTGGGAAGTATAGTGAGGAATGAAATGAGGAATAAAGTGGGGAATGAAACTGAGGGGGAAGAAAGAGGATGGAAGAGTCTCAGAAAAATGAACTATCCACTAGTGATGGTAGTGTTCAACCCAATGTGGTGGAAAATGTTGAAGCTCGGGGAAAAATGGTTTACAAAAATAGAAGTTGAAGACATAGTTCAAAATAGAATTACCTTTGACTGTAGTGGGTGCACAAGTGTTGAGCAAGAAGCAGCGTTAAAATGTTTGGAGTCTGTCCAAGGAGCTATTGCTTCTCAGTGAATACTCAGACAGCAGCAGAGTTAAGAGTCTGAGAACATAAGAGAGTAAAAATTACTGCATCTATGATGCAATCCTTCCATGTTGGTGTTGTTTCTTTGGCAATGTAATACATTCTTGAAAGACATAATGCTTTGAAGGACGTAACATTAGAACATAAAGATCTTATTATGCTTTCACATGCATTATTAATTTCTTCCCAACTTTTGAAATGAGAGGATTAATTCATTAGCTCCCTCGCCTCTCATTAATTTAATCACCAAAGCTTCTTTTATCTCTGAAATTCTATTTCCCAATACTGTACACAGTAAGTTCAATCACATCATCATCACAGTCATAGTATTTCTTGGGCATCCCAAGATTATTCTCATGGCTTCATTTTGTACCTTCTCCAACTTGTTTAGTCTACCTTTACCAAAACAAGAAATGTCAGGGGCAGCATAATCAATAAGAGACCTCACAGTATACCATGTGATTACTATTGGAATGTGAAATGTCAAAAATGATTAATATTTGTGTACTGTATGGATTTGAGACCTTAAATAGACGAGGATAGAAATAGCCTAAGCTACTCTATCCTTTTGAAATGTATAGTATTTCATTTTTCCAATAAACTACTTAAACTTGCAGGCTTTACTGGTATTGACAATCACTTGATAATACAATTCTGTGATGTTGTGAATGATAGTAACGTCACTTTATCTGTTAATTCTGCCTTCTAGCATATGCTGGTACTGATCCCTACATGTAGCTGGTTAGTGAAAATACAGTAATACAGTATAATGATTGGACATCATTTTATGAGTATTTTTAGAATTTTTTCCTACATTACTCTCCTATTCTCTTCTGGGTTGCCTCCCCACCCCATGAAAATAGTAAATTCTGGATGAAGGTGGTTCATCCTTTCATGATGATTATAAATTTGTCATTGATGATAATTATATTTATAATCAATGATAATATCTAAACCGGCTCCCTGCAGATAACAATCTCAATACAGAAAACTCTAATTTAATTTTTTAACATTTGGACCTATACCTTGTCATTTTTTATAATACCATACCATTCTAAAGATGAACCTTTTAATTTAGAATAAAAAATATATGTCTAGGTTTTAATAAAAGTATTAATACTGCAAAATTTTATACAGTGCTGTACAGTAGGTCAATTTATTTGTCAAATACAGTATACTGGTTGAAAAGATTATTCTTAAAACATAACATACAGTAATTGAACTTGTTAATTAGTACATTATATTTAATACTGTAGTGTACATACTAAAGAAGCAAAAGAAAAATAATGAGCAAGAAAAATTATGCAGACACTAATATTTTGAAATGTGAATTTCAATATACAGTACTGTACTGAACCTGTATTTATATACATGTGCAATACATATTTACTAACATTAAGGGTAGATGTCCACTGAACTGCTATATGAAATGCAGATGATGAGTCACAATAATGTGGCTGAAGATATGATGACCAAACTACACATCAGATGATGTAAAAACTACCGTCCTGGACCATTACCAAGTTGTATTTTCAATGGGATGAATTAAGAATGGGATAAGGTAAGAATAAGAGAATAAAAAAAAGGTGGGGTAGGGTTAAGTCGGGTCATGTTTGTTAATTAAGTTAGAGCATTTAAGTACTGTACAGTATGTACTGTGAAAGGGACACATCAACAGCAACAAAGCCAGCACTAAGGGTCATGTTGGGTATGTTGTGTATCAGAGCCAATTCGACAAGAAGGTGTCTGTGAAGAGTAGAGGCAGAAAAGATTATTTTAGAAGACCAATCAGTAGGATGATTTTAGAATCCTAACATGACTGCAGCTGCAGACACAGTCTTTCTATGAGAGTGACTGGAGGAGTCCTGAGACTGACGGAGGTGGGCAGGAGAAAAAGCACCAAGATAAGGAGGTAGAGTTTTGGCAAGCCAGGCAGCAAATAGGATAGCTGATAGAGCTTCTTAAAGAAATGATAGGATGAAGATGAACACCAGGTTTATGAGTCTTATGCAAACCATAGAAATAAGGAAGAGAAGGGCAAATGACATGGAGAAAAATGATTATAAAACTGATGCAAAATAGTATTTTAAGGGAATAAACTATCTGAAAGCATAAGAGAAAAACATGAATATTACTGAAATAAAAACTGTATGGTGTAACATAATACTGTGTATTCCCTGCCCAAAAGGAACCAGCTTGATCAAAAGTCGGGAAGCAGCAAATTAATGATTTCCATTGGTACAAATGCTGTCACTTAAGGGTGACCAGGCAACTGTTTTTTGTTTATTGTATAGGTAAGTGAAAAATAATACTGTAATTTGTTACATATTCATGTTATTAATTGAAAAACCTTTTTGGTTAGTTATTTGTGTCAAAATATGCAAAAAATACATGCTTTATTTTTTTCCAGTAAAAAGATGCAATATAAAATGAAAAAACGCAGAGTCAAAGAAAGGTCAGATGCAATGGGAGTTCTTTTGCATCAGAGGGGGTCCAGCATGAAACTATCCTTTCGAGAAGGATTACATTGTACTGTACTTTCGAAGACTAATTGTGCAAACCTGCCCAAATGTACATAAAAAATACAAAGCAAAAAAATAAAGAATATAATGTACAGTATGTTAAATTTGTATGCATTAACTTTCTGAAACTACTAACAACTTAAAGTTAGAAGCATAATCCCATTTACACAGCCACTTTAGTTCTATATACAGTAGCATAAAATGTGGCTGCAAATACAGTATATTGGTACAGTAGTTGAAGTAATAGTGCTAAACTATCAATGACTATAGTGAAGCGAGTCTAGCTCTATATGCCATGCCTCTTACCCTTTTATACAAGGTGGGCTCATTACATTTTTCGGCATTTAAGTTGTCATATTTTTTCTTGAAGTTGTGGAAAGATGTGACTTCAACAACCTATTTCAATGCAATCCACTTGCTGACTTGTCATACAGGTTAAGAGAATTTCATTACAGCTCTCTGACTTGATTGCGTAGCTAGCTTTCATCAATGCCTTTTTACCCAGGCATCTCTCAGATTAAATGGGCTATTCTTATATATTCCCCTCACTCTCTTAAATGCAGTGGTCATATCCCCTCAGTTTCATCTTGTCAAGGTTGTGAGATTGAATTCACTTGACCTGTCCTTAGCTTAGTCAATTACACATTTGAGATTATACATGTACTAAAATTCATCATCTCCTAATATCTTTGATTAATTCACCCAGGTTCTCAAGGAAAGTTGCAAGTAAAACCTTTCCTAATCATTCCAGTCAGGGGCTGAAATGTACTGTAAATAATAATTATTTTATTTGTAACCCAACCCACACAACAGAAGGGAAAATAACACAATTTTCCGACAATTTCATGACTTGATAAAGGTCCAGGATGGACTGGAATGTTGTTATTTTCCTTTATTTTCATATTTGTGGGTTGGGTTATTCTCAGCCACATTATTGTGTCTCATTCTCTTCTTATTTTACCCTGTACTGATTCAACAAAAAACAGATCAAGGCTGACAGCCATATTTAAGATGATGGATGATGAGTTAGCAACCTCTGCCACACATCCAAACCGCTCTGATGTCATAATGTATCTTTTTGTAATTACAAAATAACGTGAATGACCACATGATTTTTTTTTTTAAATTCTCACATGAGAATGGTTTAAAGTCAATTATTGATACTCTTCTAATAGAAATGTATTAACAAACTGCATAATTGCAAATGCTTGTGAGCTGTAAATTGAGATTATTTTTTTAATTTTACTCATAACATCAGGAATAATTTTCTATTTTTGTTACTTTCAAGGCCCTGGGAAGAAATAACCAGCAGAATTAAAAATATAAAGTCGTATCAAACCATTTTGTTGTTTTAATGCGGCACTAACACTTTAAATGTGTTGGACAGTACAGGTACAATATTATACATACAAATCACCGCTTTCTCTCAAACTACAGTATATCAAATATTGCTCTCAGATTGCACTTATTGTATACAATATTTCTGTGACCTCCCACTTCCTCTCATATAAATGTACAGTAAGCTGTACTCGAATTCTCATTACCATGACCAAAATTCAAGTTCAATATTTACATATATGCAAGTCAAAGTTACACTGCAATATATAACAATGAGGTATTATTTGTCTTTGTAATATTTTAGTATGAAACTGTTATTAATAATATACAGTTGCATATCAATACAAATTTGAACTCTATAAAATCCAAGTAAAATATTTTTGTTTACTAGTGTATGCAGTATCATCTTGACTATACTGTATGCTATATTTTAACTGTCTACAGTAGTACCGTATATTCAGCAACTACTAGTGTATAAATATTTAGAGTATTTCACAACTTCTTAATAAAAGAAGCATTATACAGTATAAGTTTCATTTTGATTTCATTATAAAACCATTAAGACGAGCAAAATTTCTAATCCATGAATCACTAGGTAACCTGACAGCCTCTTCACCAACCACTTTGTCCATGATAGTGTGGATCACTGCCCGCACCTGTTTCACATCCACTTCGTTTGCCAGAAGTTCATAGATGCCTTCCCTAATTACCTGGGGAACATCTTCTCCTAAATCTATGTTAACAGCTGCATTACTAAACCTGGAACAGCTTTCAACAGAGGAATGAATGCCTGTGGAGTTATCCTGTTTCAATGCCTTTCTGCTCTTTTCTGTATCCATGCAACTGTCTCTTTTTCGCTTGGCAAGTGATTGGTGGATTGCTGTCAGAGTTTGACTGAATTCCTTGACTAGTTTTTTTGACTTGGAGTGAACAATCTTGGAGAGAAGCTCTTGTTTTTCCTTTTCAACAACTTGTATTCTTTTTACCAGCAGATTATTTACCTCTTTGTATCTGTCAAACTTCTCTTTAAACATGGCAACATTAAGACGAAGCTCTTCCTCTTTTCGGGCATTATAAGAGCTAAGAACTGCCTTTTCAGATGTTAAACATTTTTGTAATGCACTTTGGACCTCTTTTTCTTCAATTTCCAAACTGCCAGCCGATGATAAGCTCAATACATCAGAAGACAGTCTAGAGACCATGGTGTTAATTAATACGTTTCTTGATGTGGGAGTGTTGCCACCCGTGAATGGCTGGTTAAGAAAGAATTCTGCCAAAGTGCTGTTTTTCTCTTCATACAAATATCTGCAAAATCTTGCATATAATTTTATGCACAATTTTGTTTTGTCAGTAGCAGCAAGATTAATATTTTTACACAGATCTTGCAAGGCTTCAGGCAATGATATATTAGGAATGTGTTTGTCAAGATTTTTCCACAAACAAAACACAGAAAGGACATTACGTATTGTAGGTTCATTAATGTGTTCAAGCTTGGAAAGCCACAAGTCTTCTGCTGTGTAAACATTACTGATATCCCAGTCTTGAGACAGAAACGCTGCATGTGTTCCTTTACTTTTAGCTCGATTAAATTCTCGTCGTAAATTCTCCGCTATAAGGAGAAGAGTGAGACTATTCGGTACCAACAAAACCCTGTTTCTTGTCAAAAGTATCTGGACCAAAATCCGGAAAAACAATTCAACATCTGGGTTCTCAGGATGTAATATGCAAATGCTCTGCAGTGTTAACAGCTCCCTGTTTGTCAAAAAGCGTACCCGGCCTACAGTACTATGGGTTAGTGGGCAGCAGTTGTCCGACTCAAATGGCATGAGATCAAAGGCTTCCCTGGCTAACCCACTCAAAGCTGATCTCTCCTTAAGCATAGCATAATGAGAAAAGCTGAACTTGTATTTCTTTGAAGGATTTTTAGACATAACTCCATTGGTCATAGTTTTCATATCTGTGCTAGAACTGTATGTATCTAAAGTGCTGACATTCAAACCTAGAACTGAACATAAAGTGGAATTAGAATTGTCTTCACTACTAAAAGAAACATTATCCTCATCCCCACCAGCATCAGAATCTGAAGATATTGAGTTTTCATCAGCATGGTGAACAGATGTCTTGAAAGAATTTTGTATTGAACAAGTATTACTTATTTCCTGTTGCTCCTGTGAACATGGCTGTTCTTTATTGAATATTGGCTCATGTTCTGACTCATGTTCTGATTGAACTGGTGAAGTTTTGCCTGAACTCGCTTCTTGAGTAGAACTGACTATCGGAATTGTCTGAGAAGTGAGAGTGTCTGCTTCTGTGTTAGCTACCTTCTTATAAGATGCTCTTAAGCTCTTCCTTGTTAAGGTGTCTACAACTGATTTTGAAACTGTGGGATCACATTTACTCTGCTGTGAAGACATATCTGAAGATGTAACCGTAGCATCCTGTGAAGGTAGTGGATGTGGAGATGAAAGTAAAGAGCTTCCTTTTCTAGCTGAGACTTCCACATTTTGCCTCTTCTTAGACCTCAAGACTTTAGGTCTGACTTTTGGTGTGGAACTTTTCTGCTCACCTGAAGTTGAATTCAATTCTTGACTAAAGGAATTAGGAGTACTTATACTAGGCGATAAAGCAAGATTTGTTCTGACTGTAGAGACGGGATGTAATGTAGATGATGCTGCAGATACATCCAAGATTTCTTGAGCAACTACATCTTTAGTACCAGTGTCTAAGTCACTAGAAGTCATGCTAGATGATGTCTCATTAGACTCTGAAGTAGAAGCTACAGTTTTCTCTGTAGAAGACAAAGTGGTTTTGTCATACACAGCTGGAGAAGTGTTCTTTGAAACAGTTGACTTCATCTTCTTCGAGCCTGGTGATTTATTATTTCTTAAAGCAGTTGGAGAATCTGCTGTTAATACATCTGATATTCTTTTTTTAGAATCTGATGACACAACCTTTTTAGAAATCGGTAAAGCTTCATCCTCAGAAGTGAGCACGGGCATTGTCTTAGAGTTAGAAGATTGTGCAGACAGCTTTGAACAAGATGATTTTCCTATATCAGAAACAGATTGAACAATTTGATTTGTTTCAGATTTCTCATTATTCATTACTTTCCCATTTTTTGAAGCACTTTCTTCAGCATTTCCAGAACTAGCCATCTTTTGTGTGTCTGAGCATAATGCTAAATCTTTTTGTTCTTTGTCAACCAATATTGCAGTCCCATCAAACATGGGTGTATCCCAAGCCCCAGACAGTCGGATTTTCTCTGAAGTTGAATCTGAGTCATTGTGTGACACAACAATATGCCCTGAACCTGATGGTGAAGGATCCTTTAATGATGATGAGATGTTCTTTGGAGACTGACTAAGCTTCTTTTTTTGTTGGTTTTTACTCACTGCTGCAATATCATTATCTCTCATCTGGACATTGGATGCATTTGTTCTGTTATCTACAGGAGTAACCATTCTTGTATTTTCTGTAGCTTCATTTGTAATTACATCCGTATCTGGCAAGGATGCTACCAATTTATAATTGGCTTCTGGCTTATAAAAAGCTTCAAAAACATCACAGCATTTTACCTTGCCAGCTTTCATGAGGCTCCCAAGCCAATGATTAACTTCACTTATTTTTAAAGATCCAATATTTTTTCCTAGATCTGCCCGGTCAAGTAAGCTCCTCACAGCAGTTTCCTTTCCACTTAAATAGTGTGAATCAGCCCAATTGTTGATACATATGATGGCTCCATAAGTTATCTTTGAGTTGACAGTAACAGACTCTGTGCCCAAGAAAATTGCACTTAAAACATTGTTATTCCAAATGCCCTGGCACTTTCCACAAACTTTGGGAACAATTGTTTCAGGCATACATTGTAGTGGCTTTGATCCAGTGGCACTTTTCAAGGTAGCATTATTGTCTTCTTCATCATCATCACTAAGCAAATCTATGCATTCGACAATTTTCTCACTTGTCCCAATTTTGTCTTGAGAGACTCTGGGAGGATTTCCATGCAATGGACATGCAGAAGACCCCGTATTGGTACTTTGTCTTTCTGAAGAAGTAACAATGATATTCTTTGTCTTAATGTTTGCAGTGTTAACAACTGCATGGGTCACACTTTCATGTTTTGGATATTGATATCCTATACTTTCTTCTGTACCATGACCAGGTTGGTACTTGAACTGACGAACAATGGGACCACAAAGCTTTGTATCATCTTTGCTAGTGGACTCCACCAAATTCTTATCCTCTAGACATATTGCAACAACAGATCTCCCTTCTACACTATCTGTATTATTCTGACTCATTTCTCTACTGACAGAACCCTCTCCAATTTTGACATTAGCAAGTTCACTCTTTTTCCCATTAAGACTATCTGATCCTTTATATCCTTCTTTGTTGGAGGTAAAGAATATTTTAACACACCTTCTACCAAGAACTGGGGACTTCTTACCCTCATCACAAGGGTGCTGAGTATCCTCTTGGCTTTCCGTCAGGTCAGAATCTGCATGTAAATGTTTGTCCAGTTGGCCATATTGTTCTTGGTTTGTTTCAACTTCACTTTCTTCATCAATACACTTCTCCAAACCACTTTTGGTGTACTTTACCTTTTGTTTCCCCTTGTTATCTACATCCTGTTCTGCATCTTTGCTATACATAAATACATGTTTACATTCTAGAGCACCCTCCTGTGTACATTTTAAGCCTTTGGCTATATCTTTTTTCAGCTCTAACTCTTTTTTCATGCATTGTTTATTCCAAGGATCATTCTGGCTTTCCATGTTTTGTTCCACATTTTTGTTTTTCTCTGTTCCTTCTTCTATGTACATTTGCTCCAAATTTGTGAAAGGTTGGACTTCTAAATTCTCCTGTTCCTGATGCTCCATTTTCTCTCCCAATTCTTCCTGATCCTCTACATCTTGTCCTGTGCTTTTTAGAGTCTCTACACTGTTTTCATTTTGTTCATTTTCCACTTCCATTAAAACAAATGTTTGGTTCTCCAGTTCTATTACACTGCCTTGACTTTCCATGTCATCTATGCTTTTCTGTCTCTTCATCTCTGCATTTTCCAGATTCTCTGCAATAATTTCTAGATTGCAATTCCTTGACTTCTCCCGTACATTTTCCTCTTGTAGGTCTGTTTGGACCTTTATTTTGTTTTCTCCATCTTCCTGCTCTCCTGCTTCATGATTCAAGTCCGTCATATTCTTTGTACTGCACTGCATGCCCTCCTGGTTCATAGGTTTTTCCTTTGCATCTTCCTTCTTCCTTCTTAGCCCATCTTCTCTATCCTGCTCTAACACTTCTGCATGCTGAGGTAGAGGTTTTGTAATCTTTTCATGCTTGATGCCCTGGTCTACATTCATTTGGCACTCATTTTGATGCCCTACCATTTCCTCTCCTGTAGCTCCCTCACATTCTTTATGAGTGCCTTTTGCTTCACCAGTGATGGTGGTCTGTACTGTGATATTGTCCTCTTGATTTCTGTCTGCCTTACTTTCTTTACCAGAGTGATTATCACACTCTAATTTTTCTTCTTCACTCTTCTGATCAAGTTTTTCCTGACATTTCCCTACCTGCATAATTATATTATCCTTTTCTTGATGTAACAATTTCTCTTTTGACCCTCCACCAAAAAGATCATTATTATCTTTTTGGTCAGCTGTTCCGTGTTCCTCTTTTTCTCTATCTTTGACATTAAAATCCTTCTCCTTTCCATGATCAACGTTAGCTCCTACTGCATCTGGCTCGTCATTCTGAATTTTGTTATTTTCCTTTCCATTCTTTGTATATTTGTTTTCTTCTCCTATTGGTCCCATGTCTTCTTTTCCTTCTTCTCTGCTAATTTGATCTATATTTTTTCCTTGTTCCATTTCTACACCTTGGCTAATGGACTTTCCACATCCTTTATTAGTGTTAATTCTCTACTTTGGCTTCATCACCATTTCTTGTTGAAACATCAGATATATTACTTAAAGTTTTTTGTATAAACTATCTAGATGAATCCGAGACTCAATATTTCATGACACCCAGCTTTTCTCTGTAATGACCTTTATGATCCAAATACTGTACTCCACTTCTGCCAATTTCAATTGTCTCACTTTTCACCAACAATCTCTGAACTTTTATGCACATTCAGAACTGCTTAATGACAAAATCATTTTCCCATAAATCCAAAATATTTTTGATTAATTAATCCACTAGTTCTAAGAATCAATAACTGCCTTTGCTTGATGTAATTAAGTGATGAAAATTCATTGTCCATGTCTTAAAAATTAAAACAGTGAAGGGCTTCTTTCAAAATGGTGTGAATTCATGTGTCTTTCACTAACATAGTTGTGGCAGTGTACTGGTCAACAGCTTCTGGACTGTTGGATCTTCCACAACAAAGAAGTTCTGGAAAAAAAGGTAAGTTGTTGACAAGAAAAAACATCTAAACACATTAGCCTTAATTAATGGCAAGTTGCAAGTACAATATAACAGTCAAATAATCACAGGTACATTTGACAACAGGATTAACGGCCTTGGTAAGGGGGGCATTCCAACCAAATATGCCAGAAATATGAAATAAATGAAAACTAGTTCGATTTCAATCAAACTTTTTTGACTAGTTGTATATGAAAAGGGTTTCATCTGGTCCAAGTCTCAGCATCGTAGCATAAATAGGAAGGAAGAAAAGAATATTGAATTGTGTCAAAAATTTTCCAAAATGGTAAAAAATTAACATCAAACACATATGTCAACTGAAATCGTGTCCATGACTCTCAGCTATCACAATAGCATATAATAAAAATATTTAATAATTAGTTTTATCCCCAAAAAATTATGAAAAAAAAATTATTATTGATTTTTTTTCATTTTTTCTTATTTGTTTATTGGACGATTTGCATGAAACTTATACACCTGACTGCACGTAAGCCTATCTGTAAGGGTGCCAATTTTAGAGGAAATTGGTTGATGTCTACCTCAGCCACAGAAGGCAGCACCTTAGACTTTATTTTTTACTTATTTATTTTCAAGTAATATAAACGTTTTTATAACTTATTTTTTTATTCAATTTACATAAAAACTTACACCTTATAAGTAGAGTTTATGTTTTTACAATCTGGTTCAAGCCTTTTTTCCTAAGTTCATTTATTGATTTTATAATAGTAATAAACATGATATATTTGCATAATTTTTGGGGGGAACTTTGACTATTTGTATTAGTAAAACTAACCATATTTTGGAAAATCTGCTGAATCAGATTCTTTATTTATATGCTAATGTGAAAGAAGAGTGTCATAGAAATAATTTCATTTGAAACTTGTGGTTGTAGATTCTTACTGAAAATGTGTAAAATTCGTTGAAAAAAAAAAATTACCTTTCAATGTAGGCTGCAATACTGAAGCTTGGAACAATTGCAGCCCTTTTCATATACAACTAGTCAAAAAAGATTTGTTGACATTGAACAACATTTAAAAAAAACTAACTGATGCCTCCTTGGTTCAGTATTTAATTAATCACATGTAAATTTCAACATGTTGCACAAATAGTAACTCAAAATAATTACTTTACAGAGTACAGTTTATAATTCCTGTTGTCAGGGACAGGAAGCCAGTATTTAGGTTTAGTGAGGGCCCACTAGGCTAAATACTGACCCTCCTCAGGATCCTCAGGTACCTGTGTACCCTGGGGGGTACCTCTGTGTACTGCTAGGTGAACAGAGACATTACGTGAAAGAAAACCCAGCCAATTGTTTTCGGCCTTGCCAGGAGATTGAACCCAGGGTCACTTGGTTGTGTCAAGAAAGTTTTATTGGGTTTTTGTGCTACAGGATCCTAATAAAATCTTGCCTTGGTGGCCTCGTGGTAACTTCTGCTTGTGATGAGGGTGCTGCATAATGAATGTTTTGTTGTCCTTATATTGCCTTTATTGCTGATGTTTTGAGATTTAAATTCTGCCCAAAACCCTATGTGTGTTAGTGGCTTTGCAAAAATGTAAGAACGCCAATGTTATGTACTCACAAACCCAATGTACCTTCTTTAAATAAATACACACACAAATAAATACATAAATTTGTTGTCATTATTGGCATAATTAATCACAAGCATTAAACTGTTGCCCCTTGTATGCACTGTGCACACATTACACTTTTAAAGAAGTGGTCTGGATTAATATCTTCCAATTTGTTCAGTACAGTATTTTAAAAATCTCAATGAGATCAGCCCCTGTTGTTAGGTTAGATAATGTTGCACTGGGTTGGGTTAAAAAGCCATTAGCAACCATCTTATATATGAAGGGACCAGTATCCATAAGAATCAACACCTCACCCATCTAAAAAAAATAAAAAAAAAAATAGGCCTAGGAGCCAATACAATAGGGTTCCATAGTACAGTTAGGTTCATTCTCGACTCCCAATCGAGGATTCCAGGTTCAATTCCCAGGCGGGACAGAAATGGTTGGACATATTTCCTTTCACCTAATGGTTCTATTCACCTAGCAGTAAATGTGTACATGGGAAACAGACAACTGTTGTGGGTTGCATTGAGGATGCAAAAAGGAGCTTTGCAAACCATTGTCTACAAAATTTAATAAAATATTAGAGTCAGGCAGGGTGCCAGAGTTGTGGAAGTTGCAAATGTGGTACCAACTTTTAAGAAAGGAGATAGATCACTTGCATCAAACTATCAGCCAATTACCTTAACGTCTATTATATTTGCAATACTTGCAAATTTGCAAATGATACAAAAATTGGGAGGGAAATAAACAGAAAAATACTCACTATCACTTCAAGACGATCTAAATAGTGTTTTGAAATGATTAAAAGATTGGCAGATGCAGTCTAATGCTGACAAATATAAGGTTTTGAGGCTAGGTAATGATGATAGTTACAAGTTATGAGCTAGATGGTGTTGAGATTGCAAAGTTAGATTGCAAAAGGGATCTGAGAGTAATCATTAGTAAGAATTTAAAACCAAAAAAATCAATCCTTAAATGTTCGTAATAAGGCAAATAGGACACTAGGATTTATTAATTGAAGCGTTAGTAATAAGCCACCTGGTGTTGTTCTTCAGCTATATCTTGTTCTGGTTAGGCCCCATTCATATTATGCAGTTCAATTTTGGTCACTGTACTATAAAATGGATATGCCAGTAAATTCACTAGAAGGCATCCAGCATAGGACGACAAAGTTAGTCCACCAAATTAGACACCTGTCAGATGAAGAAAGATTGATAAAGCTTAAAAACATTCTCTTGAAAGGCAAAGAATTAGGGGTGACCTGTTAGGGGTGTAGAGAAAGTGGATGAATGGACATAACAAATGGGATATTATTAGGGTATTACAAGTACTTTATCAACACATGACAGAACACAAAACAATGGGTAAAATTGGATAAGTTTAGATTTAGGAAAGACCTGGGTAAATACTGGTTCGGTAATAGGGGTATTGATTTGTAGAACCAATTACTGCGTAACGTAGTGGAGGTGGGGTCCCTTGATTGTTTCAAACGTAGTTTGGACATGTATATGAGTGGGATTGGGGTGCTTATAAATAGGAGCTGCCTCGTATGGGCCAATAGGCCTTCAGCAGTTACCTTTATTCTTATGTTCTTATCTTGGGAAAGGTTGGTAGTTCAACACTGGGGAGATCTCGATACCTATCTAAAGTATCTACGTATACACGCTTCCTCTCTTGAAGTAGGTGCAGACATTCACTTCTACCATCGTAGTCGCCCCTAAATCAACAACTGATAAACAAAAAAAAATTGCGAGACACCATACATCAACAGCCACCTTCCTTACATGTTGATTCCCCCTATAACATCTCAATCTCAGCACAGAAGGCGTACAACATTACAACTAAACTGTTTACAGCACCAAGTTGTTGTTGTTCACGGTTGCCAGATCTAAATTGCTGAAAGTAGCGAGTTGACGCGCTAAAAGTAGCGAATTTGGAATAAGAGTAGCCCAATTTTTTTTAGTGAATGATATGGGGTTTCAAAGTAATATATTTTGATATATAGAGTACACTACACGATGTTAATTGTTTTATTAATATTATTTCTGCACATACACACACACACATATTATATATATATATATATATATATATATATATATATATATATATATATATATATATATATATATATATATATATATATATATATATATATATATATATATATATATGTCGTACCTAGTAGCCAGAACACACTTGTCAGCCTACTATGCAAGGCCCGATTTGCCTAATAATCCAAGTTTTCATGAATTAATATATTTTTTCTTATTTTTCTCTTATGAAATGATATAGTTACCCATTTCATTATGTATGAGGTAAATTTTTTTTTATTGGAGTTAAAATTAACGTAGATATATGACCGAACCTAACCAACCCTACCTAACCTAACCTAACCTATCTTTATAGGTTAGGTTAGGTTGGGTAGCCGAAAAAGTTAGGTTAGGTTAGGTTAGGTTGGTTAGGTAGTCGAAAAACAATTAATTCATGAAAACTTGGCTTATTAGGCAAATTAGGCCTTGCATAGTAGGCTGAGAAGTGCGTTCTGGCTACTAGGTACGACATATATATATATATATATATATATATATATATATATATATATATATATATATATATATATATATATATATTTTTTTTTTTTATCTATATATATATATAGATAAAATATATATATATATATATATATATATATATATTATCTATATATATATAGCTAAATATATATATATATATATATATATATATATATATATATATATATATATATATATATATATATATATATATATATATATATATATATATATATATATATATATATATATATATATATATATATATATATATATATATATATATATATATATATATATATATATATATATATGACAATGTCAGACCACGAAGGAAAAATGAAACAGGAAATTTCCTTAAGTACTTTCGTATATTAAATACATCTTCAGAAGGCATCTTCACCTTCTGAAGATGTATTTAATATACGAAAGTACTTAAGGAAATTTCCTGTTTCATTTTTCCTTCGTGGTCTGACATTGTCACATTCTTAATCACGTGTTTATTTTCGTGATATACACATATATATATATATATATATATATATATATATATATATATATATATATATATATATATATATATATTTCGTGTACTAAGGGAGGTGGCAGCTCGAAGCCAATATTCCGGCATCATTATTATATATATAAGTACATAAAAATGATTAAAAGTACCAGTTTAGTCAAAGGCTATTCCTAGATTGGAATTCACTACCAAATTTCAATATATCCAAGTATTTTTAGTGTGAAATGCTGTTATTATATGCATAAATTGTTGTTTTAATAATATTACCCTTAACCACTTGGGCTGGACAGTAGAGCGACGGTCTCCTTTCCTACAGGTCCGCGTTCAATCCCCGACCACCCAAGAGGTTGGGCACCATTCCTTTCCCCCGTTCCATCCCAAATCCGTATCCTGATCCCTTCCGAGTGCTATATAGTAGTAATGGCCTGGCGCTTTCACTTGATAGTTCCTCCAACCCCCCCCCCCCCTGAATAATATTACGAGACCAGTATTTACGGGCTATTCATGCCCGTGCCACCTCTTGGGTGGCTTAATCTTCATTAATCGAGAGCAGTACGTCCTAACCAGACGTTTTATGATGATATCCTGAATAGTTGATAAATAAAAGTAATTGCGGAACTCCAGTTATCTAATACTTATCATAAATGGTATAAAACCTTATCATAAGCCAAAGGAATTTGTAGATCAGTGTTTAAAGGGAATTCGGAAGTAATAATAACACAGCTGATGCCATCTGTCGGCAGAAGAGAACACTATCAACTGGCTGGTCAACAGTGGCCATAAGATACAGCTTACGCCATCTGTTGACATCAAATTACACTTATAACAAATTACCCTGCAAAATACAACTAACGCCATCTCGTTTTTTTCCAACGCACTATAAATAGCCAAATAGCAACCCATAAGGTGGGTTGTTGTGCTCGGGTAGGAGGTTCCTAGCTCCGCCCACAGATGGTATGGGGTGCATAATAAATGGCATATCATTGGTAGATATTCTTTGTTGACATTCACACAACAGCCAATCACAGGGAGGGATCAGCTAAAGGCTCCATCCACTTAATAAATCATCTTTATTCAGCACACCATCCTTGCTTATGACATTCTGCTTCAACTTTAATCTACCTAAAAAGTGAAATGTTAAGTATTTAAAAGCATTAATATAGTGATAATTAAATACTGCAGGACGTAACGAGTGTTACAGAAACATATGGGCTGGCTACCTAACTTGTGACGTCATCAGTGGGAGTTGCCTCACACAAATAATATCGGCGATACAATGCCTCCGCCCTCTTATTGGTCTACATTATTCAGTTATATGGAAATTTCTGTCTTGTATAAAACAGAAATTGTTGTTCTTTTGTACAACAACAAGGTTATTGAGCAAAAGGACGTATTTCTTATTTTGCATTTTATTCATATAAGCGTTGGCATTCCCCGCAACAGCCAATCGCAGGAAGGTATTTGTTGGAACCTCTGGCTTCAACAAAGTTGATTCCTAATGAACTCTAACAATAAATTCGTTTAATAAACGAGTATTTAGGGTCAAGCTACAGATGAACATTATAGGATAACGGTGTTTTAGCTTGCAGTTTCGTTAGACAGAATCCCTGGTCTTACTTTTAAAAATAAAGAACTAGAAAGCGTATTTTATTGCTAACTTTTCGAGAAATAAATCCCAGTCTCATATTTGCGTACATTTATGCATTGATTTTTTGGCTTAAGTTCTTATCATAATCCCTTTTGCAATCTCAACACCATCTGGCTCGCATCCTGTAACTATCTTCGTTAATTAGCCTTAAAACCTTACATTTGTCTTACATGTCCTCAACAGTAGATAAAAAAAGTAATTGCAGAATTCTAGTTACCTAATACCAGCAAGGTATTTGTTATAAATGATATGAGTGGGGCTTCTATGGGGTACTGGTACTATTAAGGGGTATAGGTAGTTAGAAGACAGGAGTATCAAATATGGGAGAGCTAAAAGGCCCGGCCCCCAAAATAAACTATCCACAGTAGTAATAACTTGCTACAAGACCAAATATGTTCGTCTAAGGGTTGATCACTGCGCTCCCACCTTGGAAGAAGAGATACTCTGTAATTCATGTACTTATTTATTAACCCGTTAACAACCCCCCATATACACTCACACCAATAACAATAATAATAATAACTTTACCACACTATCTTACGTTAAAAGCCTTGGTCCACGTAGGCAGGATACAAGGTTTACACTAATAACAAGCTAGGGTAAAGTACTACTGGATAAGCACTGAAGCTGGATGCAGCTTAGGGTAGTGAAACCACGTGACCCTAATACAAAACACAACACTTAGGGGTACCCAAACACTGGCAAAATACTATCCCCAGGTCTCACCAATCGTTACTACCAGAGTAGGCACACTCACTAATGCCCTGTACTTAGCTTAAGGATACAGGAACTTCAGGTAAGGGAAATAAGTAAGAGGAGAAGGAAGGAGAGTAGGGATACAGCCACAGAGTAGGTCTTAACCTCACGCCACCAGCCAAGAGAAGACCGAGCTAGCCACCAGCTGCCTCCCTCATGTTGTGGTGCCGGGAGGAGCCTAATTGATCGTGCAGCTAAGCACATTAAAGATCTTCCCCTATGAAACGTATTGTTACTTTATGAATGATTAGAAAGTATTAGTAAGCAAAGTTGGTGCCTATGTTATTATTTAATAATCAACCCCCAGCTCAGTCTTTAAATGCTCTTTGAGAAACAATAATAGTCTTACGTCTGGCAGGGAAGATACAAACAATTGACATTCTAGATGCCCAACTGTACTACCAGAAAGTTTAATAGCTCAATTTTGACCTCTGGTTTCCACTGGAGAACCCAGGGTCGTAACCTTATTATAAGCTACCAGACGTATAGATCAGTGTTTAAAGTAATAATAATACATTATTATTAATGCAATAATATTATTAAAATAATAATAATACAGCTGATGCCATCTGTCGGCAGAAGAGAACACTATCAACTGGCTGGTCAACAGTGGCCATAAGATACAGCTTACGCCATCTGTTGACATCAAATTACACTTATAACAAATAACCCTACAAAATATAACTAACGCCATCTGTTGCTTTTCCAACGCACTATAAATAGCCAAACAGCAACCCATAAGGCGGGTTGTTGTGCTCGGGTAGGAGGTTCCAAGCTCCGCCCACAAGATGGTATGGGGTACATAATCAATGGCATATCATTGGTAGAAACTCTTTGTTGACATTCACACAACAGCCAATCACAGGAAGGGATCAGCTATAGGTGCCATCCACTTAGTAAATCATCTTAGTTCAGCCCACCAGTCCTACTTATGGAATTCTGCTTTAACTTTACTCTGAGACTGATGGATGCCTGCTACTTATACCTTGAAATTATCCTCAAATTATGGTGCAATGTTCCTGTTGATAATCCTCAAAATTTATTATAATGTACCTACTAATCTTCGTCAAATTTTCTTACAATGTACCTGTTAAAAAATTTTCAATTTCGCTAGAAATTACCTACTTAAAACTATGTGTTAGATTAAGGACCTGCCCGAAACACTATGCGTGTTAGTGGCTTTACAAGAATGTAAAAACATCAATGCTATGTACTCTCATAAACTCAATGTACCTTCTTGTATAATATATAAATAAATAAAA